GAGCTTTTTTAGTTGACAGTGGCTTCAAGGGGGCCATTGGATTTCTTAAATGGATTGGTATAAATGCTGATTTTGAGGCCTTGCAAGTAAGAGATGCTTGTGTTGCAAGCAAGCGCTACATGCCACTCACTACTCGCTTTAATTTGGCGTCCCTTGAAAACCAGCTTGGCTATAAGTTCCTCCACAAAGGTCTACTTCTGCAAGCCTTTATCCATCCTTCTTACAACAAGCATGGAGGAGGCTGCTACCAGGTATTTTTTTTTTGTTTCCATCTTATTTTTCGTTTCCCCCTTTGATATCCATCTATGGTAAAACAAAATTATCTATATTGGGGGTCTGCAGAGATTGGAGTTTCTTGGGGATGCTGTTCTGGACTATTTGATGACTTCCTATTTTTTCACAGTCTTCCCGAAACTGAAACCTGGTCAACTGACCGATTTAAGATCGCTGTCAGTAAATAATAAGGCGCTTGCAAATGTTGCTGTCAGTTTTTCGCTAGAGAGATTTCTATTTTGCGAATCTAATTATCTCCATGAAGCTATAAAGGATTATACCAACTTCCTCGCAGCGTCACCATTGGCAAGTGGACCATCTGAAGGTCCGAAATGCCCCAAGGTGCGTTTGGATTTCCCTTCCATATGCAGACAATATTTTTGCTGCTTCTATTTTGTATTTTAGTGTGTTTTGGTGGAACTTGTGGTAACTCGTTGGCGTTTTATTTAGAGCATGTCTTGTTTGATAATGGTAAAACAAATGCTCAATATAATGTGGATATATTAGTGGAAAAACTAATATAGTTATTTTATGCAGGTTCTTGGTGACTTGATAGAATCCTTTTTGGGGGCTGTTTTCCTCGACTGTGGGTTCAACTTGAATCATGTCTGGAGAATAATGCTATCAATTCTAGATCCAGTCAAAAACTTGTCTAACTTGCAGCTTAGTCCTGTGAAGGAACTGCTTGAAATTTGCCAGTCTTACAAGTGGGACCGGGAAATATCAGTGATGAAGAAGGATGGTGCTTGTTCTGTTGAATTAAAAGTGACCAAGAAAGGTTCTTGCCTTACAGCTTCTGCAACTGGTCGGAACAAAAGAGAGAGCACAAAAAAGGCTGCACAGCTGATGATTACAAATTTGAAGGTAATTTTTCAAAGAGTCAAAAGAAACTGTTGTGTCACGAATTTCTTCAATTGATGTGATGTATTTCTCTCTTGAGCTACCTAGTGTTCAATTTTGTAACTGGTTCGTCAAGAAATTCTTTGTGTGATTTATCCTCAGGCTCATGAGCACATAAAAACCTCCAATCCGTTGGAGGATGTTCTGAAGAATAGCTTCCGAAATGAAGCTACACTGATTGGCTACAATGAAGAGCCTATAGATGTTGTGGATCTTGATGGGCTGGACGTTGACAACCTGAAAATCCAAGAAACTTTTGACGAGGATCCTGAGACTGAGAGCAAGACTAGTGAAAAAAGCAGCTCATACATCATCAGACGAGTTCTCACTCAGGCACCATCTGAAAAAGAAGACAGCCTTACTCAAAAGACCATCAGAGAAGCAGGTATTTGGATGGACAACTTATAAGTTAATAGATTGGATATTAGGAGACTGTAAACTTAGTTCAGTATATACCTTGACTTGTTGATTTCTAACTCAACAGGTGGATCGAGTAGCAAAACCGCAAAATCCCTCTTGCACGAAACATGTGTTGCCAACTGTTGGAAGCCACCAAAATTTGAATGTTGTGAGGAGGAAGGACCAGGCCACCTGAAATCGTAAGTAAATTGATAACACACTGCTAGATCATTAAACTTAAGCGAGTTAGAAACTTCATCGAAAAAGGTCAGTTATTGGATTTAATGTCATCAACTGTGTGCATGTTGACAGATTCACCTATAAGGTAACCCTGGAAGTTGAAGATGCCCCAAATATGACATTGGAGTGTTATGGTGAAGCTAAACCAACTAAGAAATGTGCAGCAGAGCAGGCTGCTCAAGCTGCTATTTGGTGCCTCGAGCATTGTGGATTCCTTCGCTGATGATCTCGAGTGGCTATATCTCTGTTAGAAAGAGAGGTTACCGTAGGCATATAATTGTATCAAAACTACATATTAGCTTATATGATCGACTCATATAACGACACATAATTTCTAGAAAGTGGAAAACAATGTCTGGAGAAGGAGGTCTCAAGCTCTTAACAAAGACTGACCTTAGACCCGTAGATCTTGTAGCAAATAACTTTTGAGGCTCAGGTTTTCTTCGATTATTCTTCTAAATATAACTATGTGTTTCTACCCACAAAATTAGTTTACCGTCATCTCTCATGCATCAGATAGGATCCTATGTGATTTCAACTCCAACATATATGCAGTAAGCAATCTCCAACATATATGCAGTAAGCAATTGGGACTATAAAATGCAAATGAGAATGTTGAGATGGTGTGAAAATATTAGGATTTCGATGAAAAGTTGAACTTAAGAGTAGCTTCAGAAGGAGAAAGGAAAACAACCAACGACGAACTAGCGATATTTTATAGGCAAGATTTTGCTTGCAAGAGTGACATTGTGAAGATTGGAACAAATGAGAAGTGATTAATCTATACAAGAGAATGTACGAGAGAAACTTGTACTGGAGGAGATGAGATTGTTACAATCTCTTCACTCAACTCCAATCACAAGAAAGAGAAACTATCTGAGTGTGAAATAAATATAGAACAAGAAAAGTACAACTAAAATGTTGAGCAAGCTCTCATGTTTAACCACGTTATGAGACTCTGCAAGAGCATCCAAAACCATGTTTCTGTCATCAGTACTACTCCCTCTCCCTCTCACAACCTTCATCTCTGCCTCCACTCTCCGCTGTACCTCCAGTTCTATCTTCTCCATCTCCATGATGGCCATTGTTGCTGTTTCTTCAGCCATCTGAAGCCTTTGCTCTGCTTTCTTTTTCCATATCTCGAGCTCTATTGCTTTCTCTTTTGCCATAAGAGCTTCTTTGCAGGCAGCGTGGTACATGTCCATTGTCTCAGTCAGCTCTTTCTTCAGCCTTCTCTTCTCAGCCTCGGCCTCATCCATTGGTGGTAGTGCGGCAGCTAATGTACAGCTCTTTTCATCGGAAGGACTGTTTAGAGAGATCGAAATCTTGGACTTCTCATCATCCAGACCAGAGAATCTAGGAATCTCCAACATGTGTGGAGCCCCAAGTTTCTCATAGAAAGAGAGAACCGAACTATCTGTACTGATCCTGTCACTAATGTTCACGGTAGAATCTGTGTCAAAGGATGATAACTCCTCAAAGAAAACGTCGTCCTCTCTTGATAATGACCTGTGAAAATCCAAGAGAGCTTAACCAATTCAAGTCCATTAACAAGTTTAATCTCACGGCATAAACATGATGTTACGGTTTTTTATGGTAGATTACATCTCAGAGGGAGCCTCATCGGTGTTGCTGAGTGGTGACAATGGTGCAGTCCCTGAAGAAGGAGATGGCAATGCTTGAGGTAAAGGCCGAGTGGCTGACCGTACAGTTGATAGTCTTCCTTTTGATATGACTAAGACGCTGCAGAAGTCTGGAGCCCATCTCATCACATTACTTGGAATCTCATCAACCTTGAATAGCCTTCAAATCAATCAAAGATCATCCAAAACCATTCAGTACAAGGTTCTTGGGTTTATTATGCCAAATCAAAAAAAAAAAAAAAAAAATATCGACCTTGTAATGCTCTTCTTCAACGAGGCACCTAGCAAGAATGTAGAAATACAGTTCTGGCTAATAAATTCGATCAATGCCTTGGCCACATCCTGATCTTCAAGCAAAACGACTTCGCTTTGTATCTGAGAATAGACATGAATCAGAGAGGCAAGAAGAAGAAAGAAAGAAAGAAAAGATAAGCAAACGCCATACTTACATTTCGTCGCATACAAAGACAACGCATTGGAAGAAACTGAGTGTTTCGTTTATCACTGTGTTGTCTTTCAGACAATTCATCATCAGTAGAAGGTGCATTTGCATTTACAGCAGATTTTTGGATGACATGAACAAGTTTTACTGTTCCGCCTCGAGGTATATAATGTTCCACAGCCCATTTAAGAGCTTGGCAGCTTGTTTTGTCTCTGTCGACTGCAATAGCTATAGGCCCTTCCCTTATTTCATTTCTCTCCATAGTTTCTCTCAAATCCGAGATCATTGCCTCTCAAGAAATATGTAATACTGGCAAATTATGAACTGCGAAATTTAAAGACCCCATTCTGCAAATTTAAAGAAGGATGTAATGAACATGTCACTGGTTCTGGAGAAGAAAACATCCACATTTACCAGGAAGACAGAGGAATCTGAGTGGAGGCAATTATGAGATTTTGTAAAGACTTAAAAGAATAAACAAATGTTAACAAAAATAAAAAACTAAAGCCCTTCCACTTTGGGAGGAGAACCGTATCTAGCTAAAAATAGAACTGTTATCAACAAGTGAGATTGCAGGGAGAAAACTAACTCCAGGCGACCAAAATTTGTTGATTAATTAACAAATAACTAACAGCAGCAACATGAACAAATTATAGAAGAACGGCTGCCAGTTTTCGTTGCCCGTTCTGAAAAACAGATCTTGTTGGACCTGACGTCGAAGACACCACAAATACTATACTATCTATGTCACCAAAATACTAAACTATCTATGTCAAATTGGTTGGGAGGTGAAATTACTCACATTCTTGGAGTTTTCAATCATCAAAGGTGTTATTTTGGCATTGTGAATCAGCGATTCCAGAAAAATACGGTATCTTCAAGTGATGATGATGGATCAGTTAGGATGATCTTTCAGATTGATACAAAGTCCAAATTCCTCGATAGCCGTCTATCAAGGTATATATGTATCAACCACAGAGCCGAATGTAACAAGATCCAAAAACATATTCAAATATCCAAGATAGAGATCCCAAAACAAAGAACCGAGCTGGTAAAGGCGAGGGCATGAACGTTAAAAGGTGGTAATTGTGAGGGAGAGAAAGTCGTTATCAAGCATTCTTGAAAAAAATTTATGAAATATTAATTCTGTTGAATGGATAGTAGTAGGTGGATACGTGATTGGAAACAGCTCACAATGCCAATCACCTGTTGGTTTTGAAAATTTCTTCAGAGCATTCCATCTTCCTATAAGTAGGATAAGATTATACATTGGAGCACTAAGGAAGAGATTTCTCTTAAACAACACAGAACAAACCCATTTTTAACCAAAGCACGACAATGATCCTAAGTCCTATGGAAGACAAGCTCAAGCTCCAAAACACGTCAAAGTAGCCTTAAGACAAACCAAATTCACGACATTTATTCGCCTTACACACAAAGCGAATAAATGAAGAAGAAAAAAACTGGAATATTATGCAAGCATAATAAAATGGAATTATTGGTATTAAAACTCTAGACTTTAATCCAGAAAATGGTATACTTTATTATTTTTAATTGACTTATTGTTATTGTTATTTTTAATTTAGACTATGATAAGATTTTTGCATGAAAATCCCAAAAACATTGTATGTATAAATTATTTTTTAAATAAAAAAAATAAATCAAACTATGCGGATTATTGAGCTCTAATCCACATACATACATTACATACAGATACAGCCTTGTAGGTAGCGACTGATACGGGGCGCATGTTAGCCTCAGGCAAGAAGAAACAAACAAACAAGAAAACAAAACCATAAGAAAATCTCGGGGGCATCTTCTTTGTTATCTTAATTTCGTAAACCTACCCTTTGTCTTACCTCGATCTTCTCTGTCTCTCGCTCCTCTATCACCAACACTGTCAACAACACAAGGTTTCTCCGATTTTCTCAATTTCTCATTCAATCTGTTGGATTTCCAATATTTCTGTCTCGCGTCCTTCATTTAAACTGGAATTCTTTTTCTGGGATTTCACAATTTTTGTGTGGTAGAGGTTCTGACTCTGCTCTTCTTATCCATTGGAATTTCTTTGGGCTTTGAATATCTCTGTTTTGGTCTGAATCTACTTTGTAGGTTAAGTTTTTTGATGCTCTTCAATTTCTTAAGTATGAAATGTGTTTTGCGTCAATTCTCAGTATTTTTTCATTTGACTCATTGCGGTTCGTAGGTTATTGTGTTCCAATGAGCTCACTTGCAGAAAACAGATTCATGGGATTTGGGAAATTGGGTTTCGTTCTTAGCTTATAAAGATGCGTTTGAAGGCTTTGCCACTATTTCCCTACACGACTTTATGTAAAACAAGTGTTTTGCAGCTGTGTTAGCCTTTAGCCTTTTGTAGTTCCTGCATATCATCTTAGCTAGCTCGGCGTTGACTTCTTTGTTGTTTACCATTTGAACAAGATTGCTACTTTGGCTGAGACGAAATGTTACCAATTAGCCTCTAAAACATCTCTTTGTTGTGTTTGTTGTGCAGGTAGAATGAAAGGCTTCAAAGACTGGGTTTTTGCTCTGACTAACTCGATGGCATCGTCTAGACCACTTATGGGAAGTGACCCTTTTTTCCGTGAGAATGAAGAACAGGATAACCAGTGTATGATATCTCTCTTCTTTCCTCATATCCTTTGTTGGTCTCCTGAACGATGAGTGGTGCGGATGATATATGGGTTCATATTTTACAAGGCACTTCCTGTGGTTTACTTTAATTTGGTTTAATTTGCTATGTTCATTGCTTTTTAGAATTGAATTGAACTTTGCTTTCTGATACTTTAGCCAAATTGATTTACTTGATCCTTCTCAAAAGTCTCCCTTCTTGCTGTTTCTATGTTTTCTTTGACTAATAGCTTTCAATTTTTATTTTCAGCTCAAGCCCCTGTTTTACCAGAACCAGTGGCACGCTCGGAAACACCATGTTCAACCAGTGGTGATGTAGAAATTCAGCTTCCTCTTTCTCAGCAGCAAGTTCCGCTTGAAAGCTTGTACCAGTCAAGTTTTGATCTTAACGAGAAGAAACATAATCCACTAGCAAGGATCGGTGACCTCCAAGTACAGTTTTTACGCCTTGTTCAAAGGTTTGGGCAGTCACAGAGTAATATTCTAGTCTCCAAGGTTTTGTATCGGGTACACCTTGCAATGCTGATACGAGCTGAGGAATCTGAACTGAAAACAGTAAAACTTAGGCAAGATAGGGCCAAAGCTCTAGCAAGGGAGCAAGAATCACGTGGCATACCGGAATTGGATTTCTCACTTCGAATCCTCGTCCTGGGGAAAACAGGTGTTGGCAAGAGTGCAACCATAAACTCTATTTTTGGTCAGTCCAAAAGTGAAACTGATGCTTTCCGACCGACCACAGATCGGATAGAAGAGGTTATGGGAACTGTTAGTGGAGTTAAAGTAACCTTTATTGACACCCCTGGTTTTCAGCCACCTTCAGCTTCTAGCACAAGAAAAAATCGAAAGATTCTGCTCTCTATCAAGAGATACGTTAAGAAGCGTCCGCCTGATGTAGTTCTTTACTTGGATCGCCTTGATATGATCGACATGCGATATAGTGATTTCCCTCTCCTGAAGCTTATATCTGAAATCCTGGGTGCAGCTATATGGTTAAACACGATACTTGTAATGACGCATTCTTCAATTGCTTCAGAAGGGCGTAATGGACAATCTGTGAACTACGAGACATATGTTGGCCAACGCATGGATGTGGTTCAGCACTATATACATCAGGCTGTGTCTGATACGAAACTAGAAAACCCTGTGCTGTTAGTTGAGAATCATCCAAGCTGTAAAAAGAATCCTGCGGGAGAGCATGTTCTTCCAAACGGACTGGTATGGAAGCCTCAGTTTATGTTTTTGTGCGTTTGTACCAAAGTTCTTGGCGATGTCCAATCTCTACTGAGATTTCGTGACAGCATTGGCCTGGGACAGCCAATCAGTACCCGGACAGCTTCCCTTCCTCATCTTCTTACACTTTTTCTGCGCCGTCGCTTATCATCAGGTGCAGATGAAGCAGAGAAAGAGATAGACGAGCTTCTGAGTTCGGAATTAGAGGAGGAAGATGAGTATGACCAGTTGCCTGCAATCCGGATCCTTGGGAAATCCCGGTTTGAGAAGCTGTCAAAGTCTCAGAAGAAAGAGTATCTCGATGAGCTTGATTACAGGGAAACCCTTTATCTGAAGAAACAATTGAAGGAAGAATGTCGAAGAAGACGAGATGAAAAGCTTGTTGAAGAGGAAAATGTCAACAATGACACTGAACAAAGTGACCAAGCAGCTGTTCCACTGCCTGACATGGCGGGTCCAGACAGTTTTGATTCAGATTTTCCGGCACACAGATACCGATGCATTGTGACAAGTGACCAGTGGCTGGTTAGACCTGTCTATGATCCCCAAGGTTGGGATCGCGATGTGGGTTTTGATGGAATAAATATTGAGACAGCTGCAAAAGTTAAAAGGAATCTATTTGCTTCAGCTACAGGACAGGTGAGCAGGGACAAGCAACGTTTCACCATCCAATCTGAGACAAATGCAGCGTATACTACAGACTCTAGAGAACAGACATTCTCTGTAGCTGTTGACCTCCAATCATCAGGGGAAGATCTGGTCTACTCGTTTCAAGGAGGCACAAAGCTAAAAACTTTTAAGCACAACACAACCGATCTTGGAGTCGCTTTGACATCTTTTGGTGGGAAGTACTACATGGGCGGAAAGCTTGAGGATACCTTATTGGTTGGGAAGAGGGTGAAGTTAACGGTGAATGCAGGTCAGATGAAGGGTTCAGGGCAAACAGCACATGGCGGGAGCTTTGAAGCTTGTATCAGAGGGAGCGATTACCCGGTCAGAAACGAGCAAATCGGCCTTACAATGACAGCTCTGTCTTTCAACCAAGAGCTTGTCTTGAACTGGGGTTTACAGACTCAGCTTAGACCAAACAGGGATACGAACATAGACGTCAACATAAACATGAACAATAGGAAAATGGGGAAGATAAACGTGAAACTTAATAGCTCTGAGCACTGGGAGATTGCATTGATCTCAGCGTTTACGATTTTCAAGGCTTTACTACGGCGGAAGAAAGTTGTGAGTGAAATTACTAAGGAAAATGAAGAAGAGTTGTGAGTTTACTTCTTCTTTTTTCCTGATTTCCCTCTAAAATTAGGTCAAGAAAATATATTTTGGACATGAATAGATAACCGATGTGTACAAGAGATGTTTGGAAGACAAAACAGGAATCACATTCTCATCTCCTTCCATTGTTTTATGTTATACTCTCGTTTTGTTGGTCTAGTGTGATGTTTAGGTGGAATAGCCTTTGGCTCTCAATTATGCTGTAAAAAGCTGAATCTTTAAAGTAGAAGAGTTTCCGTGAATAAGATTTGTTAAACGGTTCGGCTGTAGATCTGAAACAAAGATCGAAGGAACGGTTTCAATTTACCCGTTTATTATACATGCAACTTTGAAGGAATAAGTTATGTTCTTACTATTCGAAAATCCCTAAAAAATTACTGTCCCTAAAAAAATTACTGTCCCTTGTGCTTGAGCTTAGTGAAAAGATCATCGCGATCTCTTTTTTTTTTTTTTTTTTTTTTGATATGATTTAACTGGGAAAACTCACATTATTGTATTACCTCATTTTTTAAGGAGAAGCTATAATTTTAGTTGACTGATCATGCTCGAGATACATGTTATTTAGTTTCGATTTCTAGAGTTTTTCGGTGGCACTTGTATTGTACTTGAATCAAGAGGAAAAGATTAGCCAGCACTTGAGACTCACTCCTAACGAAAGACAGTGTTCGACCCTCAGCCCAACCAAGACAAGTTTTGGACTAGACCTCTAAATATGTAGTAGTGTACTAGTAGAAGCTTTCATTTAAGCCAAAAAAGAAGTGTAGATTAGTGTCGCAGTGAAAATAGCATCATTATAGAGTTTTACAATGAAACATTTTCAGAAATTAGAGAATTGTGTGTTGAATTATGACGGGCCCAAGTAATTTATATGGGCCATTGAGTAACAGGCCTTTAAAAGGTTGACTACTAGGGTTTTTTCTTAGAGACGGATACTCCATTTAAATACCTCTTCGTCTTCAATTCTCACCCTCGGCGCTTAATCACTCGGAGAAACCCTAAGAGGCTACCATGGGTACCAACGTTTTCTTCTCGATTTCACTATCCGATGGATCTCTTTCCTTCTTATCAATCTTTAGTATTGAATGTCTTGGTGCTATTATCTCATATGGAACCTCATTTTTGTAGGTATTTCTCGTGACTCCATCCACAAGAGGCGTGCTACGGGAGGCAAGCAGAAGCAATGGAGGAAGAAGCGAAAGTGAGTTTACATATTCAGATCTCTTTCGATATATTGTCTTTTATGCTGTGTTTACAAACGTTTAAGAATCTGTTAAACGAGGAACTAGAAAACATAAAGCTTAAATACATGCGATGTTGTGTTCTGTGAATCCGTGTGTTTGTCTTGATTGATCCGTCCTCTTATATTTTGTTCCATTTCCTATTTCATTTAAAGAAATCTTCCCAGGCAATAGATAAATGTTATTATAAAGCTTAAATCACTTGGAATTTCGACTTATAATCTCGAAGGTGTAATGTTGGGCGAAGTATTTATAGAGAATATATTATAAAGTTCATCATATGCTACTCTAATTGCTGAAACGTCGTCTTGATGTTTTTCTCTTATAGTGGCTTGTTTGTTTAATTGGTCCTCTTATGTCTACAAATCTTGAGCTTCTGATTCATTATACCTTCGAGTCTTTGTTAGGACACTTCTGGTTTTTGAAGTTTGTGTTTTGGTTGATGAAGGTATGAAATGGGAAGGCAGCCTGCCAACACCAAGTTATCGAGCAACAAAACGGTCAGAAGAATCAGGGTTCGTGGAGGTAATGTGAAGTGGCGTGCCTTGAGACTTGATACCGGTAACTACTCCTGGGGAAGTGAAGCCGTTACCCGCAAGACCAGAGTCCTTGATGTGGTCTACAATGCATCCAACAACGAGTTGGTCCGTACAAAAACTCTTGTCAAGAGTGCTATTGTACAGGTGGATGCTGCTCCCTTCAAGCAGTGGTATCTCCAGCACTATGGTGTTGAGGTTGGTCGCAAGAAGAAGAATGCTGGTGCCTCCACCAAGAAGGAAGGAGAGGTGAGACCATTGTTATCTGTTGGTCAATCTATTCGTTGACTTGTATGATATCTGAGTCTGAAGTATTGATTCTCATTTGCTATTTTTTATCTGTAACTTAATATGTTAAACTTATAGTTGTAGCATTGGAGCGAAGCTTATGATACTATTTGTTGTTTACTATATAGGATACTGAAGATGCTCCAGCCGCAGCTGCTGCTACACCTGAGGAGACCAAAAAGAGCAACCATGTCCTGAGAAAGATTGAGCAACGTCAAGAGGGTCGCAGTCTTGATTCCCATATTGAGGACCAGTTTGCAAGCGGTCGTTTGTTGGCTTGTATCTCGTCAAGGCCTGGTCAATGCGGGCGTGCTGATGGGTATTCATTTCTTACCTCTTGATTCATTTTGTCTTGTTTGAAATCCCCCATTAGTTCACTTTTGTTCATTGTCTTTTTCTTGTGAAATTTTGTGCAGATACATTCTGGAAGGTAAAGAGCTAGAGTTCTACCAGAAGAAGATCCAGAAGAAGAAGGGAAAGGGTGCTGCTTAGACGTCGATCTTCTTTTCTTGAACTTCAAACATGTTTTGAATTTTCAGTTTCATTTGTATGAGAACCTATGTTTTTGGATTAGCTTGCTATGGAATTTCATAAACTCCTATCAGTATTACGCTGCCATGGTTTTGTCTCGGATTTTTTTTAATATTGAAATTATAATCACCTATCGCACTATTCTTTCAAACTATTATCAAATTGCGTTGATTCGGTCAGGGCTTCTAATTGGCCTGTTCATATATCTTCAATTAAAAACAGAAAGCTAACAGAAGCAGCCACCAACCAAATAAGGTTTGGTGATGGTGATGTTGTCTTGTTACAATTTTTTTAATTATGAGCAAGGACTAAAGAGAGAAAGTTTGTTAAAAATGTAACTCGATTATCAACGTTGTATATCTCTTTCCTGTCATTATTAATTACGCGCTATTACAACACGTCATTCAGTTTGTTAATTAGAAAATGAGCCCACATATGACAATTAACAAACATTGAATCATTTGTTTAACTCAGATATCAATGTTTGTACTCGGTGTATTACATAATTAACATGATGCAAATAACGCGGTTTTTTTCGATATATCATAGAATCATAACATATATGTAGTTAGCAAATAAAATTACATTCCAAAATTATGCTCCGTTTTTTTTGTCATATCTATCACCGGGTCTCTCATGTTGTCATCGGAAATTCATATTTTGTTTAAAAAAGTGAGAATAATTAGTTTAACATGGTATACACTATACAGACGTTTACATTATAAAATATGTTGTGTGAACCAAAAATGATCCTTATCAGTATGATTTAAAATGAATGATAAGAAGGGAATAAAAAGGCTGTCAATTGTCAAGTACCTAATTTTTTATTTTTTCCTAAATTTTGCACTGTCTAGCTCTAATCTAATAAAAAACAAAGTTTTATTTGGAAGAAAGATATTTTCTTTGACAGTTTTTTTTTACAATATTAAAAAAACTAAAAAGAATAAGTGTAAATAAATAAAAAAATGAAAAAAAAGCAGAGATTTGAGCCGTTCGAAACGGATGCGTGTCCTGTGACCTGTGTATCGTCACTAACCCCACACTCCAGCTGAGTGTTTGTCGCCTATCGATCAAAAGGTACGAGATAACCAACCAATTACTCAATCCCTATTCCATCACCAGAAGTAACCAAACGATCTTCCCAGAGATGGCCGGGAACGATTGGGTCAACAGTTACTTGGAGGCGATTCTCGACGTCGGCCAGCCGCTCGACGATGCTCGCCCTTCGCTTCTTCTCAGGGAGAGAGGCCGATTCACTCCCAGCCGTTACTTCGTCGAGGAAGTCATCACTGGATTCGATGAGACTGATCTTCACAGATCCTGGGTCAAGGTACGTACCACCAGTCTGTTTTTTTTTGTGTGTGTGTGTGTTTAGGCAGGGTTCATGATCGTTTTTTTCTTTTAGGCCGTCGCTACGAGAAGTCCCCAGGAGAGGAACACAAGATTGGAGAATATGTGCTGGAGGATCTGGAATCTCGCTCGTCAAAAGAAGCAGGTCCTTTTCTTCTTCGCTTAGATTCAAATTTAGCAGACTGTTCTATTGAATTGTCCATTTTTCCCTCTTTTTTTTCTTTATCATAACTTTAAGAAAGCGAGTTTCATTCTTTCGGAAAACTGATCTGGCATCAGCACGACTGAAGCTTGACTTTGATCTAAATGTTTGACTCTCAAGTCATTTTTAAAAAAATTAATTTCGTTCTCCTCTTATTTGAACCTTTTCAAATTGTTCCTGCTTGCATTATGCATTCTCTTTTTTAAAGAAAAAGAGGATAAAGAAAGTACATAACGTAAGAAGAACTATAAGAGAAAAGAGGAAAAGTGTATTTGCGTTTCTAGTCGCTTTAAACTGATCTTGCTTGAATTTAGCATAAAATTACTTTAAGTAGCTTTCCTGTCTGCCTTTGGGAGCTGGAGAATTGCTGACCCTAACACATGATTTGCGACCTTGGATCGTTTGAGTTATGAAATAGCTATGAACTTGATGTGGTACTTTGTGCTTGTGATTTCCCCACAGGATAGGTCAGAATTTCTGCTGTTGGAACGTTAACATCTTAAAAGTATTGACTACTCATGTTTTGTCGGCCCATTCTTATGTCTGTGCAGCATGAGGAAAAGGAAGCACAGAGGCTGGCTAAGCGCCGGCTTGAGCGTGAGAGAGGTCGCAGGGAGGCAACAGCTGATATGTCCGAGGAGTTTTCCGAGGGAGAGAAAGGAGATATCGTCAGTGATGTATCAACTCATGGCCCCAAAAGCAGGTTGCCCAGGATTAATTCTGCTGAGTCGATGGAGTTATGGGCAAGCCAGCAGAAGGGAAATAAGCTGTATCTTGTTTTGATAAGGTATGTGCTCAAAGTCTGCTCTCTAGGCCTTGTTTTTCATATGTACATTTTTACTTGGCAAAATCAAGTTATAGTTAGGCTTACCTTCTTGAACCTGATTTAGCATATAATGCAACTGATCTGCCGATTGAGAATTTACAAGGATAGTGATGGAAAGTATTAGTAGTGTTCTTTTGTGATAGTTGTTTAACATTCAGTATGCATGCAGTCTTCATGGTCTCATACGTGGTGAAAACATGGAGCTCGGCCGCGATTCTGATACCGGTGGCCAGGTAATGATACGGATAATTTGAGTGACTATGTAATGTTGTATAAGGTTAGGCTAGTCCTCCTCACTCTGCTTCTTACGTTACAGGTTAAATATGTTGTGGAACTTGCACGGGCTTTGGGATCAATGCCAGGAGTTTATAGGGTTGACTTGCTTACCAGGCAAGTGTCTTCACCAGATGTTGACTGGAGTTATGGCGAACCGACGGAAATGCTGACTCCTAGAGATTCTGAAGATCTCTCAGATGAGATGGGGGAGAGTAGCGGCGCTTATATTGTGAGGATACCATTTGGTCCAAAGGAGAAGTATATTCCTAAAGAACTTCTATGGCCTCACATTGCTGAATTTGTTGATGGTGCTATGAACCACATCATGCAAATGTCCAATGTTCTCGGTGAACAAGTTGGTGGTGGGAAGCCCATTTGGCCTTCTGCTATCCATGGACACTATGCTGACGCTGGTGACGCTGCTGCTTTGCTGTCAGGTGCGCTAAATGTGCCTATGATTCTTACTGGCCATTCACTCGGTCGAGATAAATTGGAGCAGCTTTTGAAACAAGGTCGCCTCTCAAAAGAAGAAATAAATTCAACTTACAAGATTATGCGCCGAATAGAGGGTGAGGAATTATCTCTTGATGTTTCTGAAATGGTAATAACTAGCACACGGCAGGAGATAGATGAGCAATGGAGACTTTATGATGGCTTTGATCCCATATTGGAGCGCAAATTGCGAGCAAGGATCAAACGAAATGTGAGCTGCTATGGACGGTTCATGCCTCGCATGGTTGTAAGTAACTTAAACCCTAGCTATTTTCGTGATCATTGACCATTGACAGACTGAAATATACTTTACAAAGTGGAAATTTTAGTGCTACGAACACAGTAGATTGTTGGTTAATACTCTATTATTCTGTAAAAAAAATCATGCTTACCGAGAGCTTGATTATTATTTATTAATGTCAGTTTTAATCTTTGTATTACATCCGCGTGTTGCTTTAGGATGGTTGACAAAAAAAAAATGTCTCAGGTGGGAGAATGCTTTTTCTTGCCTTATTAGAATTTTTACGTGTAGCCTTCTGACTCTTCTGTAGTATCATAAAAATATTTTCTGTTTATTTATTTTTGCTTCAGAAAATCCCACCTGGGATGGAGTTCAATCATATTGTCCCACATGATGGTGATATGGAAGACGCAGATGGGAATGAGGAACATCCAACTTCTCGAGATCCACCAATATGGGCGGAGGTTCTTGCTTGAAATTAGCATCTACATCACATTTATTTGCTTCTTCTCATTATCTTTCTGTCAAGCAGTTTACTCGAGCTCCAAATTCTGTATGTGATGCAGATAATGCGTTTCTTTTCAAATTCCCGAAAGCCTATGATACTTGCGCTTGCGAGGCCCGACCCAAAAAAGAATATCACGACTTTAGTGAAGGCATTTGGAGAATGTCGTCCATTGAGAGAGCTTGCTAACCTGGTATGTCTATGTCATATATAGGGACTTTAGACATTTCTCTAACACTTTGCTTGTTTGTTTTATGTTTCTGTTTGATCACCATTTTGTTTTCCTTATCTTCCATATTTCTGGTTTTCAGGCACTTATTATGGGTAACCGTGATGGGATTGATGAAATGTCTAGCACGAGTTCTTCTGTTCTCCTTTCTGTTCTGAAGCTAATTGACAAGTATGATCTGTACGGTCAAGTTGCGTACCCTAAACACCACAAACAGTCAGATGTTCCCGATATATATCGCCTAGCTGCAAAGTCAAAGGTACTCTTTGTAGATTATGTCTCACAATTCAGACAACTTAGGATTTATAAACTTAGTTGACGTTCTTCAGCTTTAACCTAAGCTCATAAAATTAAGTTCATTATGACTGTGTCATGATACTTTAATCAAGATCATTAGATGTATTGTCGCATTAAGTTTTTTTACCTGTTCACCATGAAAACAAGTCTAACACTTGATCTGTCGGGTTTTTTCATCCACAAGGAAATATTTCATTTCCAAATATTGTCAACTGCTGCTATTATGATGCTACCATATGTTTGCTTCAACTGTTTGACATTACTCAGGATGCTTCTGGCCATTCTTCTCTTTAGTTGATTTATTATTCTGTGGAATTTCTGCAGGGTGTTTTCATTAATCCAGCTTTCATTGAACCATTTGGACTTACTCTAATTGAGGTATTTTATTTTCCTTTTATTGTCAAATGTGTTTGTTTCCTGACTCATTCTTGTCATTTTAGTAAAATGTGTTTCTTATTTTTCCTCTAGGCTGCCGCCCATGGTTTGCCAATGGTTGCTACAAAAAATGGTGGTCCCGTAGATATACACCGGGTATGTATTGTTACGATAAATCTTGGAAGTCCTCAAGACTATGACATACCTTCTTGTTTGTTCTAAAATGTACCTTGGAGATTTTCTTCTAGGTCCTGGACAATGGCCTTCTTGTGGATCCGCATGATCAGCAATCTATTTCGGACGCTCTTCTTAAGCTTGTTGCTGATAAGCACCTATGGTCAAAGTGTCGGCAGAACGGGTTGAAGAACATTCACCAATTCTCGTGGCCAGAGCATTGCAAAACTTATCTATCTCGCATAACCAGCTTCAAACCAAGACATCCGCAATGGCAAAGTGATGATGGCGGTGATAATTCAGAACCTGAGTCACCCAGTGATTCTTTGAGAGATATACAGGATATATCCTTGAACTTGAGGTTTTCATTTGACGGAAGTGGGAACGATAATTCCATGAATCCAGAAGGGAGCTCCATGGACAGGAAGAGCAAAATCGAAGCTGCAGTCCTAAATTGGTCTAAAGGCAAAGATAGTCGCAAAATGGGATCACTGGAGAGGTTAGAGGTTAACTCGGGAAAATTCCCGGCGGTGCGGAGAAGGAAGTTTATTGTTGTTATTGCTCTTGATTTTGATGGGGAAAAAGACACACTAGAGGCTACAAGAAGGATTCTAGAAGCGGTTGAAAAGGAAAGAGCCGAAGGATCTGTTGGGTTCATATTGTCAACATCTCTAACAATCTCTGAGATACAGTCTTTCTTGGTGTCAGGGGGCTTAAACCCTAATGATTTCGACGCCTTCATATGCAACAGCGGGAGCGATCTCTACTACACATCTCTTAACTCAGAAGATGGTCCTTTCGTCGTTGACTTTTACTACCACTCTCACGTGGAATATCGCTGGGGTGGTGAAGGGCTGAGGAAGACTTTGATCCGTTGGGCGTCTTCAGTTAACGATAAAAGATCTGAAAATGACGAGCAGATAGTCACTCTTGCTGAACATCTTTCCACCGACTACTGCTACACCTTTGCAGTAAAAAAGCCTGCAGCGGTAAATTTTATTCAGGCACACACCATTCATTATTAAGAACATCTTCTTGGATCTACTTAGCTTTCCGTTAAGTCGTTTGTTTTTGGTTTTTTATTCCCAGGTACCTCCGGTGAGAGAACTCCGAAAGCTGCTGAGAATCCAGGCGTTGCGCTGTCATGTCGTTTATAGTCAGAACGGCACTCGAATAAACGTAATACCGGTGCTGGCTTCTCGTATTCAAGCCCTGAGGTAAGTATATCTTAAGTACAAAACTTGTGGTACAGCTAAAATAACTATGGTTTCCATTTCTAAGAATTGCCCTTGCCGTTCCGGTTATGGTGAACCAGGTATCTGTTTGTTCGGTGGGGCATTGACTTGGCGAAAATGGTGGTGTTCGTGGGCGAATCAGGTGACACTGATTACGAAGGATTGCTCGGAGGGCTTCACAAGAGCGTTGTTCTAGAGGGAGTGTCGTGCAGCGCAAGCAACGCCTTGCACACTAACCGGAGCTATCCTCTCACTGACGTGATCTCCTTAGAGAGCAACAACGTGGTTCACGCGCCCGTAGATTCGAACGTTCGTGATGCGCTGAAGAAACTAGAGCTTCTCAAAGACTGAAACTCCGAAACAAGACGAGCACAAATGTCCAATCATCAATGGTTGGGTACCAAATGCGAACTATCTTTTTCATAAGACCACATGGTTTGGTTTCCTTATTACTTCTTCGTACATAAGCTGCCGGAAATACCGAACTCTTCGTATGGTTGTCTTTTTGACACCTACCGGATCTACTTAATTTATGCAAGTATTTTAATAATAAAAAGAGAAGATTCCGGTATTTAATCAACAGAAAAATAAAGAAAACCATTTCTTTAATTTTTTTTTTTTTTTTTTTTGCATCAATTAGGCAAACACATGGCAGTTATCCTAAATTAAAGCTTACTAAAGATGTTGAGCTAGTAGTCTTTTAAAGCTACTCTCATTTTCTTCTCAACCATATTTAACAAAGACATTGTTATGATAACCTATTAGTAAAATTAGACACGTAGAGATTGCGTACCTGATTTGGGTTTTTTGGGGTGTTTCTTGAGTCACCTCTTTTGGGAAACTTGGACGTCCGATTAGCCGTTCCTTATTCCTGCTTTCCCCAAACGGCTAAGCAAACACAAATCTTACACGACCGTAAGCAGGAACCATGACCATTATCTAGAATTCTAGATAATCAAATTGTCAAACGTAAATGGCCAAAAGAACAAAAATTCAAATACAGCTACATAAACAGCATATATATCACGCAATATAAGTATATTACATGTTACATAGTTTTATGATTCCTTGTAAATATATTTTTAGCAGCCCTTTCATTTAGTTGTTTCTAAATAATTAGAGCTTTGAAAACTCTAGAAGTTTAAGTCCTTTTTCTAGTGGCAACTAATTGAAAATGACACTAATGTCTCAAATTTATTTTTATTCGGATATAGGTTTAATATCTCGCAGTTTTGCAACAAATTTCATCTAAAAATTAAAATCACTCAATGATTTTGACCTTAAGTGATGTTCCATCTACTCTTTTTTTGTTTGTTTTACATTACAACATATAATCTAAAAAGCAAGATGTGAAATGCTGCTTGTATGTTTCTATAATCATTGTCAACCAACTGATTATAAAAGATATCACACTTATTCTCCTGTCTGTCAGTTAATAACTCATAAGTACATTTCATTATGTTGGTATCCTAATATCCTATATGTTTGAAAGTTTTAGTTACAAAAAAAAACTAAAATTTCAAAATTTATATTCTGATGTTATTTCACTAGATGTCAAAATAATTTTTTTGCAAATGTTCGAGAATATTGTATATTTAAAGCCAAGTAAACCTTTGAGAGATCTTAATTCAGGCATAATTTATTGTTGAATGAAGCGTAGCTAGTGAAATTTTACTGTTCTAAATTATTAACCTTAACCTTATTTCTTTCTAATTTCTAAAACTCAAAATCTTGTTACAAAAAAAAAATTTTAAAAAAATTTAAAAAAAAAAACTCAAACGATCCGGTAGGTACAAGGAATCATTCATGTATAAGAGGCACTAGCCGGTAGTAAAATCTGAGTCTGTCGGTCTTGAAATCGCCTAAATTTACTCTATTCGTACTCCAAAGATTTCGCGTATCTCGAAAAGTAATGCAAAACAAAATTCACATTTCTGGTAAAAAATAAACAAAAATGCGAATAAGAGAAAGAACAAAAAAATAAAATAATAATAATAATAATAAAGAAGTATTTATTGATAACCTAACTAACAACTAAAAGATGAAAACACGACACCAACTTCTACCTGCATACTAATGTTTCTTCTTTAAATGTTGCAGCTGTCTCCCTTGCCTTTCCCATCTTCCTTCTTTCTCTCTCTCACCCCTCAAATTCAATTCACATTTTTAATACTATTAACTTCAATAATAATAATAATAATAAATCTTTTTCATTATATAGTTTCTTCTCATCTCAGATCTTCTACTATCTTCCTTTCCATTGATCTTCAGATCAAACATCAAGTATTTCTTGTCTCAAATAATCGACACTAGAGCTCATATGGACCAAGATGGTCAAAAAGACGAACCAGAAACGGTGTCGTGTGGCAACAGCAAGTGCAGGAGCAAGATAGTCCCTGGAGATGATCACGATGGAGACGAAAACAGCGGTACGAAGAAAAGAAAGAAGAAGAAATCGCAGAAGACAACAAAACGACGTGAACTAATGTCGTTTAGTGAGCTTCCAGAATACATGAGGGATAACGAATTTATATTGAATTATTACAGAGCTGATTGGTCCATTAGAGATGCTTTCTTCAGCGTCTTCAGTTTCCACAATGAGTCCCTCAACGTTTGGACGTTCGTATCTTTTCTTACAAACTTTCACACTTCTAGCTTTTTCTTTCAATTTTATTTCTTTGAGTATATTGTGTTTGATTCCTGATAAAAAAGTATTATCTATTTTGTTTTGGACAGGCATTTACTTGGTTTCATCTTATTTGTGGGACTAACCGTCGCCAACATTATGCATCACGATAAATTCTTCCCCGTGGTTAGTATCCTTTGATCAATTACCATATGTCTTTACTTTATATATAACAAGATGTTCAGACCGAATCTCAATTTAATCTCTCTAACTAGTTCCACATGCAACCACTAAATTAAGTGGATGTATAGTCGTAGATGCATGTACCTAGCTGGTTTTCATTAACCTTAAACATATGATCTTATTTTCTAATGAATTTTGCAATGATATTCCTGGGTTTTAGTATGATGATTATGAATATCACATTTTAACTGAAAAGATGAATTATAACGTATCTTTGAAATATCTCAGACCAAATTATTATTTTTTAAATATATTTAGTTTTTTTGTTTCTTTATATTTCAAGCAAGTCAACAAACTTTAGTTCTTGGTAATTTCAGAAATCAACTCAATATTAAAACTCTCGGAAAATATAAGAAATCATCCGAGAGACTAGAGATCGACGTGAATTGAAAACGTGAATCATATCCTGATGTTATATTGTTATCAGAGGGCAAAACTTATGAGTTTCCTTTGTGTGTGTGTGTACGTGTGTGTGTGATATATATACTGGTTCTTTAAGGCTAATTAACGATGGTATCAAAATGTTGATGATTGTATAGGATGCAAAGAGTCCAGGGAATGTAACAAGATGGCCATTCTTCGTCTTCTTAGGAGGCTCAATGTTCTGCCTACTCGCAAGCAGCATTTGCCACCTCTTCTGTTGCCACTCCAAAGACCTTAACGTCTTCCTCCTCCGCATAGACTATGCCGGTATCACCGCCATGATCATCACTTCCTTCTTCCCACCAATCTACTACATCTTCCAGTGCACTCCTCGTTGGTACTTCATCTACCTCGCAGGCATCACCTCTATGGGAATCTTCACGATCATCACCCTCTTCACTCCATCACTTTCCTCTCCCAAGTACCGCGGTTTTCGAGCTTTGCTTTTCGCCTCAATGGGGCTGTTCGGGATCGTACCAGCAGTCCATGCGCTAGTGGTCAACTGGGGAAACCCGCAAAGGAACGTGACGCTAGTGTACGAGCTGGCTATGGCAGTATTCTATCTTGTTGGGACAGGGTTTTATGTAGGGAGAGTGCCTGAGAGGCTTAAACCGGGATGGTTTGATCGTGTGGGACATAGTCATCAGATATTCCATGTGTTCGTTGTGTTGGGTGCTTTGTCTCACTATGCAGCTGCTCTCTTGTTCTTGGATTGGCGTGACCATGTTGGTTGTTAAACCATAAATATTTGTAATTCTTTTGACGATCAAAAATATATTATTAGTTTGTTTGTATCACATCAATCACGTGGAAAAAAAATTGTATAACCCATTTTTTTTTAATTGAATTGTCATTCGACGTGTGCTATATTTATTGAATATGATTTTCACAAGTCTATTTCTCTATGAGGTGCTAATTAACGGTAAATCAAATCTTTGCCACTGAATAGTAGTATATCATTATATTGTGGTATATTACTTAGATTATTTGTTTGCTTTTTTTTTTTTAAGCTTGTGTGAGTGTGATTTTGTTTCTTTCAAATGAACTCGTATTTTATTAGCATCCCTAACAAATCATTTGACCCTAATATTATGAAGTATATCAACATTGGCGTATTGATCAAACATGTCAACTTTAGCTTAAATTTTATGTCGGTTTAAAATCGATGCTTAACCAATCCAAACTTGAATAACATGCTTTAAATCGGTTATAGGCTTATAGCAGTATGGGGAGAACCGAGTTAATAATAAATACTCCATTTTTTGGTTTCTTCTTCTAATCGGGTCCTAAAATTAAGTGTATGCTGTAAATACATTAAAATTTAGGGCCATGATAGCTGTTAATTAACGATAGACAATGCCAAATTTCGGAAGAAATTTGAAAAAATTACTTCAGTTTCGGTGAGCTTTTTCCAAAGTAATAAATACTAAATTAATTTCATTAGCCTCTTATTAGTCTTCGGTTTCCTTCCCTAGTATGATTTTTTCCATATCTTGCCTTATGTTTTACCTTAAATGGTTTTATTTGTGAGACTTGGATTCTCTAATTTAATAATTTCTAAGGAATTAATGAAAAAATAGTATTAGAAAATCTTTTCTTCTCTCATACATGAATATACAGCCCCCAAAGGTGGTGATCATCCTCTTATCCTAAGAAACTAGAAAACAGAATTCAAAATGAAACATTCATATTTTGGTTCAATGAAATTCTCTCAAGCTCCATCTCTTCTTCTTCTTCTTCTTGTCATTCTCCTCTTTTATCAACATCACTCTTCTCCAAACCTAAACTCCAAAACTCTCTCCAGTTTTGCCTATGCTATATCTCTCGCACCTTCTCCTTCACCGTCTCTATCCATGAGGTTTAGCATTCCTTCATCAAACTTCACATTAATTTCGAGTGCTGATCACAAGGTACATATATGTTGTTTCGGTGATGGAGTAGGGTTCATTTTGTTTTGTTTTTTTTTTCAATACTAGGCATTTGATTTGTTTTAAATATATAATTGGTTTTGATAAGAAAGAAAAGAAGAGGAATAGAATAGAGGAAGGTTTAGCGAAATCAAGAGCGGCCATACGTGAAGCCGTGAGGTCAAAGAAGTATGCATCGGAGAAGGAAGAAACTTTTGTTCCTCGTGGAGCTGTTTACAGAAACGCTTATGCATTTCATCAGTAAGTTTCTATCCCTTTTTTCTCCGATCCGTTTCTCTCTTTCCTCTATCTCTGTTTTATTTTTTTACTTTGTTCATTTTCCACCAAAAGTTTTTTAATTTTTTTTATAGTTAGTACTTAGTAATAATTAATAAGATTTGACCAATAAAAACTAAATAATATGATAGTTAAGTGTAAAACTACATCAACTATATATTGACAGAAGAAATATCAAAGATTCCAAGTGGATGTTTTGGACGAAAAGACCAATGGGTCTAACTTTAAGCTAAAATTAGTGCATTTTGTAACTTTATTAGTTCAGTTTTAAATAATTGTCGTTTTATTACAACAGGAGTATCAATTTTCATTTAATTAATGACCCATTATTCTCTCCTTAGTTCCTATTTGGATTTCAAAAGATAAATTTAAAATTTAAACTAAATTACTAAACTAACAATATGTGCTTAAGTTCAGATGAAACAAATGATCCTGTCTCTTAAGAATTCATAACCAAAATATTCATAAAAGTTGAAATTTATCAATAGAAATTCGTTTCACTTTTCGATTTTCTTGGTATTTACTCGTTTGCTTTGGGAAACGAAGCGATTGGATTTGGCTATAAGTATAATTTTTTCTCGCCTCTTAAAATTCTACATCTCGTTAGATCCGAGACCGAGAGTGATCTACGTATTTATACTAATATACTGTAGTTCTTTCTTTTTCTTAAGTAAATACATTAATTTTTTTTCTTATATTCACACGAAAATGAAGTTTCTTCAAATCTTGATGCAACTTATACCTCTATTAATAAGTACGTAAACTTCATTCGATTTATTTACACATTTATAGGCTAATTGGTCGTTGTATTTAATATATAATTTAATTTAAGAGTTTGATATATTATATATAGTCAACGTATCTATGAAATACTACTACTATGCACAATAATCGGCGGGTAAAGAAACGTAGGGAACACTTAAAGCCTGCTTTGGGATTTGTAGTCACATCCGATCCCTATGTTTTCTTCGAATTACAACCTTATTATACTTTTCTTATCGACTTTTAAATTAGATTTCTTTGCACGTTGCTAAAATAAAATTACTATTCCCATTTAGTTTATTAAATTTAATTACTCTCAATAGTCAGTACATAAGAATTATCAATGTAAATAAAGAAGAAAATTTTATATTCTATGAACTAATTACGCAAGCCAATTCTAGCACTTAATTTTTTTTAATGAAAATTGGTGCAGAAGCCATATAGAGATGGAGAAGAAATTCAAAGTGTGGGTGTACAGAGAAGGAGAGCCACCGTTAGTTCACATGGGTCCAGTGAAAGGCATATACAGCATCGAAGGCCAATTCGTGGACGAGATGGAGAGAGAGATGAGCCCATTCGCGGCTAGCCACCCGGAAGAAGCTCACGTCTTCCTCCTCCCGGTCAGCATTACCAACATCGTTCATTACGTCTACCGGCCACTCGTGACCTACTCGAGAAAACAACTTCACCAAGTGTTTCTTGACTACGTCAATGTCGTGGCTCACAAGTATCCTTATTGGAATTCAAGCCTTGGAGCCGACCATTTCTTCGTTTCTTGCCATGATTGGGTAATGTCGTGGCTCACAAGTATCCTTTATTGGAATACAAGGTTATATATTTGTTATATAATACAGGAATTTGGGAACGGGATGGGACTTGTTCTTGTCATGTTTATACTACTAAAGCGTAACATTTATTAAACGTCTTGCAGGCACCAGACGTCTCGGAAGCGAATCCGGAGATGTTGAAAAACATGATAAGAGTTCTCTGCAACGCCAACATATCAGAAGGTTTCTTGCCCCAAAGAGATGTCTCAATCCCGGAGATCAATATCCCTGGGGGCCACCTAGGCCCACCTCGATTATCCCGGTCTTCCGGCCATGACCGGCCCATCCTTGCTTTCTTCGCAGGCGGCTCACACGGCCCTATCCGCAAGGTTCTACTGACGCATTGGAAAGACAAAGACGAAGAGGTCCAAGTCCACGAGTACTTAGCCCACAAGAAAGACTACTTCAAGCTCATGGCCAAGGCAAAGTTCTGTCTCTGTCCTAGTGGCTACGAAGTAGCTAGCCCTCGAGTCGTTTCAGCCATTAACTTAGGCTGTGTCCCTGTCATCATCTCTGATCACTACGCCTTGCCCTTCTCAGACGTTCTTGATTGGAGCAAGTTCACCATTCATGTTCCCTCTGACAAGATCCCGGAAATCAAAACTATACTAAAGAGCGTGTCATGGAGACGCTACTTGGTGTTGCAGAGAAGGGTTTTGCAGGTCCAGAGACATTTCGTGATCAATAGACCCTCACAACCCTTTGATATGCTTCGAATGCTTCTTCACTCCGTTTGGTTGAGAAGGCTAAACCTGAGGTTGCCTATGTGATTCTACATATGTACTCTTTTTTTTTTTTAAGTATCTTCTTTAGGGTCCAATAAATATTGGTATACAACAGAAACGAGAACAGTACAACATTGAAAAGTAGCTACAACAATAACCAACTGTTTACATGTAAAATTATAACCTTATAACGGTTTTGAGACTGTTTCGGTTCCATGAATACTAGCTAAGAGATTTTTCATAACTCAACTTCAATCAGATGTAATCGCTTGGCCTCTGAAGGCATCTTGTCCAACTCAAAAGTGACCAAACCAGAGGAGGCATCGTACTCAAATGCAATCTCATTTGACTCAACAACGCATCTCTTAGGCTTCACCGATGAGTAAGGCTATATTACCACAACCTTTGACTTCCATAACCACTTTCACCTTCTCAGCGTCATATTTAAGTCCTTGTATAGCTCCTCCCGAATTGTACATGTTTACAAGACCGAGTGGAGCAAATGAGACACCATCCGTAGCCAGATTACTTATCGGGCTCACAGTGAAGATCTCGTGCTCGCAGATTTTCAATGAGATTGTGAGAGACGCATTGTATGGCATAACAGTGAGTTCGCCTCTGCTCTGGGAGTAAACAGCACAGTCTCCATTCCAGGTTGATGGATCAGTAGAGGCCTCGGATATCAAATGCACATCACGGCCACGAATGGAGCCAGTGAGGCAATCAGTTTTTGTCTGGTGGAAGACGTTTTTCCTTTCCGTGCTACTCCAAGCTGCTCCTTGGCAATTATACACGCCAAGGACTCCAGTGTATTTGTTCATGTTCCATATCTTTAGCAAGCTGTGAAAAAACAAAACAATGCATAAATAAGAATAAAGAGCAATCAAAAACACAGTTTAGACTCTTCTTTATTAGCCAGTCTTGCTTACCTGACACCATCGCGGGCAGGATCAGCGAACAAACAATCACGGGTTGGTCTACCAGGTAAACGGGCACGAAGGATCGACCCATCAGGCAACACAAGCTTCTTTAGAAGATCAAAGTTGTGCTTTCCAGGAGCATCACTACTCACCAAGAAACAGATACAACAGAATATGTAACAGTGTAAGTTCCAAACCAATAGTCATATGGTTAAAGTGAAATAAATTGGAATGAATGTTGAGAGAGATGTGCACCTAACATAGATTGGTCCACCACTAATGGCCCTAGCAGAGGCATGGTACTCTGCTGCAGGGTGCACGGAATGGAACATGTCCCAGTCAGGCTGCATAAACTCACCCAAGAACACACTGTTGTATGCAACCGAGGCAATGTGGATGGTATGAGACACCGGATCTCGCGGATAGAAATCATCTGATGCTCTAATCACAGCTGCTTGCTTCGAGCTGCATCATCGAAGTTTCAATTTTATGTCCATTTCCTGATTTTACTCAATCAAACATAAAAGATAATGTAAGACTTACCAGTAGAGAGCATCAGTATTGTGGCTCATACAAGCGATGCAGCCATTGTCTGGGAAGTTCTTCGCAACAGAGGAATCAAGAGCTTGATGATACTGACGCGTTAACTCGACCCGACCACCTAACCCACCACCCAAAGTCTCCAATATACACTGCACATCCACTTTCACACCGTCCACACCAGCAGCAGCCAAGTAACTATGAAGCTCGTTGTAGAATCTATACACATTCTTTGGGTTAACCAAACCCAAACCTTGAACCGCCATAACATCCGTCTTCCACGTCGGCTCATTCTCCGCCACACCCTTTGACACCATCGGATACTTCATCGAAGATCCGAATTCCTCCCCGGGTCGAACCCCGCCCCAATAACCCGTAATTGCGTGCCACACGTACACGTATTCTAGACCGTATTTCTCCTTGGCGATATCGACAATGTTCTTAATCCCTGATTTTGGATCATCCTTGTCCTGGAACTTTGCATTTTCCTTGATCCCGGTTAACCGGGAAACCGATTTGTCGTCTTCGTTCCCGATCGGGTCAAGATCAGTCTCAACGGATTGCCAACCGTCGTCGATGATGACGAATTTCGGCGGCGTATCGCCGGCGGTGAGAGATTGAAGCCCAGCTTCGACGCCTTCTTGAGTAACCTCTTGGTAAAACGCGTCCCAAGTGCACCACCCAAAGTAGTCAACGATCCCTGGAAGCTTCTTCTCGTGACGTTGACGGAAACTCTTCAGATGCAACTTAACGGTGTGGATAGCTTCCGTTATCGTTTTGAACGGATCTGTGCCGGCGTGGATATACAGAGAGTGAGTAAACGACGACCGTTTAGTATCGGCGTCGCCGCTTTCTAAACAGAGCTCCACCTCGTCGTTAACGTTTCCTTGGAGACACGAACGGAAAGATCCCTCGATTAACGGCAAGAAAACGGTGTAAAGTTTCCGGTTGCTCTCGACGCCGTCTACGCCGTCAGGCTCGAGGTGGGACCCATCGTTTGACTCGACCAATAGGAATTGCGTTTCTAAGGGAATATCCCGGCCCTGTTGGCCCATTCTTTGGGCCATCCACCAGAGCTTGAACCTGAAACAAGCCATGAACCGGGAATCGTGGAGTGTACCGATCGGTACGATGTGGTTACTCGATTCTTTGTCGAATTCAGCTCCGACGAAGACTCCTTCGACCGGCCCGGCCTCCGATGCTGATGTTGCGATGACATTGTCTGGTAAACCGGTTAGAACCGTACGGTTTTTGATGATTAGATTGCCGTGGGAGATTCGAACCGCCGGTTTAATCGTCATCTCTTCTTCTTCTTCTTCCTTTTCTCTGTACCTCCTCTTGAACGGCGAGGCTGCCTCGCTTCTCTATAATATCAGAAAGAACAAAAAAGATTGAAATCTCAAATAGTTTTAAGAAAAAAAATAGTTTCTATCAGAGATAGATCCAGAGTTAGCAGATCAAAAGTCAAATTTATCAATCTGTTATAAAAGAGATCCAGAGAAAAACAGTACCTTATAAGAATAGAATTGAAATCCTCGAGAAGATGAACAATGCCTGCGATATCCAAGACATGGAGAAAAAAGTAAAATAATGTTGTTAGCCGCAAAATCTGGAATCTGAAAAACGAATATGAAGAGAATGATTCACTGCAATACCAGAAGACGCAGAAGGGTGAATACGAAGCTCTGATGCGAGAATGCGAGCTTGAGGTTTCGATTTCAATGGCAGAGCAGAAGAGGAGAATCGATATGTTAAAGAAAGAAACAGAGGATGAACCCTTTTTATACCGTGAATCCCACTGTAACACCCATGTGACGCCATTTTTTTTCTTTTTGCTCTCTCTCTCTTTCTCGTTTCTGAGTTTTTACAAGTTTCTCGGAGTCTTCAAACTCTTTATCCGATTCCACCGTATTTTAATTTTTTTTTTTCGTATTTTAATATTTCTAATCATGTGGAAAGATAATACAGTAATAAATAAAAAGTTTCTATTTTAAATATTTTTTCCCTAATCGAGATATTAGACCATGAACATCTCTTAAAAATAAATATTATTATTTTAATCAGTATTTTATGTAAAAGTAGAGAAGACGTCGTTTATATTAGAACACATAAGAGACGTTTTTAAAACATGTGGATACATATGATTGGTTTTTCGATATGGAGAAAAAAAATTATTTTTTTCTTCCTCACCTTTTTCCTGACACATGTTTCATTATTATTTTTTCCATTTTAATAAAAAATATTAAAAAAATTATTAGGAAATCCAGTTGAGTTTCAACAATATTCATGCTCTTAGTAACACGTCTCCGTTTCTTGTTTCTTTCGTATTAGGCAAGACTGCAAGTAATCTCAGACTTACAAATTTTGTTTTAAAATTATTTATTTTTTCCATATCGTAAGCAGATTCATCCCGTTGATAATCTACGTAGTATTTTTTTTTGTTTTCAATTTCCAAATTCTGCAAGCAAAATGTTGTGTTGTAGGGTGCTATCGACAAATTACTGACACTAGAAAAACGATAGCTTCAAAGATTTAAACATCTTTCAAATTGACATCCTAAGAAATAAGATAAAACCTTTAACAAAAAAAAAAGAAATAAGATAAAACAATATTAGGTTTGACCGTTGACAAGTTAAAAGGAAGGATGAGGTTACCACGTAGGATATATGCTGTAACTCATTGGGTTTCAGGAAGTTCCTATTGGCCCGCGTGTTGAAAAAAAAGCCAGAGATTTTTTAAGAATTCAAAGATATTTTTCCACGACCGTATTACGTGTCATCGTGTCAGCGGATTATCGATATTATCACGAGACGAAATAATATTTATTTAACACAAAAATCTAAAATAGAAGTTTTCTTTTAACTTGTAACCTAATACGTAGTTTTATGGATTTATCATTGTATAAAATGATATTGACATCTATAAATCTATATGGTTATAACTTATAACTTACTTCTGATAGTGTCTACATATTAGTATTGATACAATTTTTTTTATGTTACTAGCTATTGCTACTATCTTATTTAATGGTGAACAAAAATTCCTAAAGAAAAATTTGATTTGTTACCAAAAGAATTGAAAAAACAGATTTCTTCAATCAGGAAGAAGCACATCACGGAAAAACAATGTATCAATATTTAAGAATAATATTTGAATGTGAAATTTGGATATTGTTTTATTAATCGATTTAACGGAATGAAACAGATCAAAACAACAATACAAACACACACAAAAATAGACTGACATCACCTTGTTCACCAGATATCGGTGATTGTGGCTAAATTACTAATATTAAAAGATATATATTATCAATATTGTAAAACCGCATAGCGTCATACAAGTGGCTAAATTATCTTTGCAGTTCAACTTGCTACAACAGATATCGGTGATTGTGGCATTGTGCGGCTGCATGGGCCCATTATTTTGTAGAAAATGTCACTTTATCAAATAAAATAGAGAGAGGGTAACTCACGAAAATGAATAATTTGATCTTTCCTTTTTTTCCCTTCTGTATTTTGTTCCCTATAGATAATACTCTGATAGCTACAGAAAATGAAATATTCGGCGATGAATGATTCGCTTGCAACGAATGATTTGTTAAGAGTGTGATTGGGAAAGCAAATCAATTTGTATTTATTTTTAATTTTTGTATAACAACTTGAATTTATTTTCTTATGAGAATATAAAAGTTAGAAAATCGCCCAAATTGGATCCAATGGTTCGCCTCATACATGACTTGGGCGATAGGGGATTGTCAGAGACATTTTTTTTTTAATCTGATTTCTGAAAATCCGCACATAAAAAATATAGGGTACGCAATTCTATACATTGATTATTGCTAAAAATCAGAATAAAATGTTCGGTTTACGAAAACGGACGAGACAAAATGTTTATTCAGCAAAAATGGATCTCTCTCGGTTGAGGTGAGAATGACGAGAGAGAACCCGATTATAGTGGTGAGTAAGTGACCTAGCTTGCCATCGCTTACACATATCGTGAATCTCAAGTCTCGCGGGTTTGTATATATGTTTTCTAATCGCCTTAATTAGTTTTTTAACAAAAAATATTCCAAAATAGCCACTTTTTGCATTAATTAAATAGTGGTCCTTAGCATATTATATTTATCCAAGTGGTCCGGAAATATTTTAATACGGAAGCCACTTATAAGTTTAAAAATAAAAATCGCTTCTTAAATCTCGATTCATGTAAAATAACACGGAATAATTAGATTTAACACAAAAGCAATTAGTTTCAAACGTTTAAGCAGACAACGTAACCAATAATATTAATACATAGTGTTCATAAGCAAACAACGCACACACAACTTAAGTTTTTAAGTCAGATAGAGAGTATATATATATGGCTCGAGATTAAAAGGACGACACACAGATTCATAAAGACAAACTAAAGGACCACGAAGTAGGTCATAGTAGATTGGTGATGTGATTGCAAATCCTGATGAATCAATCGATGACCAAAGACATAATCTTTTCCTGAAGATTTGGCTGGATCGGCTGCACTCTGAATCCAAACTGCGCATCATGATCTCTCATCATCATTCCTCTCGCATTGCTAGCTATAGCCATCTCTTGCTGTTGCTGCAATTACCAAACCATATCTATTACATCTCAAAACGGAAACATAATCATACGCTATTAAGGTCTGTATGAATATATGACTATTATTTGTACATACCAGCTGGAAATTGAGTTGCCGGTTCTCCTCCACCATCATTTTCTCCTGCCAAAAAAATGTTTGATCTAAGCATTAATACATGTTTACAATCCGAAAGCTAAATGGTAAAGTATATTAATCGGTTATGTGCTCACATTTCTCCTCTTTGTCATGAGGAACTCCATCTGAGCCAAACAGACAAAATTAAGAGTCAATTGTGATTTTTGATAATATACACATAATATACATGTTTAAGAGTTTATGTAGCGATGTATACATGCCTGGTGCTCTCGGACTTTGTCTAGTCCGTGTTCAATGGCATGCTCTACGGCCATCAGGTTTTTTAAGTTGAGAGACTGTATATCCTCCCCTTTCAAATGCCTGTATTCACAATTTCTATGCATTTCATATTTATGTTGATATATATTTCAACATCATTTTTATCAAATGTTTATATATACATGTGTAAAGATATGGCAGTGAAGGGTGAAGGATATTGACCTGAGCTCCAATTGTAAGCTATCATTCTCTTTTTTGATCCTATCAATCTCATTGCTGAGGTTCTTGAGACCAAAATTATTCAGCATATGAGTTAGATGAGCAATACTGGGTTTTAAGAATTTAGATCAAACATAAAGTTCACTTATATATACACGAAAGATAAATATGTCTGAAAAATATTGAAGAAACAGATCTGGTTACCCAAGAAAAGTTTTCATGTTTCATGCAGAACACTATATGTGTATATATATATGTATATGTATATATACATACACTTAAATACTATTATTAGGCAGTGACTTAAATGGTATACAACCCTCTGTATGTTTATTACTGTAAAGAGATATATCTCATTTGTGAGAACTAAACCTACGATTGTCAGAGCTAATTAATTAATAATATATAATATTTGAATTAAAAACCTATTTAACAGTACTTTCCCAGATTTCAATAGTTTTCAAAGCCACAAATGTAAATCAGTAAAACTGTTCAGACATTCTCAGTAATATCACATCCCAGATTTTCTCTCAGCGACCCCATAACCTAAACAACTGAATTACTTTATGGATCTAACTCGTTTAAGATTTAGTCTTGGTGGTTTCATAACGCAGTTGGTGGATACTGGATACATGTTTAGATATACTCTAGAATATATTCAAGATCTTACCAATTACGCACGAATAAAGAAAACCAAAAGGAAAGAAGAGAATAACTTCCATGTTTTGTGGCTCCATGTCTTATTGAGTACAAGAGAATCAATAAAGAGGCTTGGAAGGCTACAAACACAAAGAAACCTTTGTAGATCTGCATCTAGGGTTCGAGGTTTTTCTTTTTGACATATTTTAGGCAAAGAAAATTAAATTACCCCGTTTTACGATATTTAGCACAGAATATTTGTTTTTGAGACAAAACACTATAGTAGATCTGCGTCTAGGGTTCAAGATGCAATGGTCTTTTGACATGTTTTTGGCAAAGAAATTGAAAACCCATTTCACGATTTTGGCCATAGAATATTTTTGAGACAAAAGAAACTTTAATTAGATGATGAATAAAGAGAGAGAGAGAGAGAGAGAGAGAGAGAGAGAGAGTACCTCATGCTTAGCATCCCATAGTTTCTTGCCAGATAGCTTCTGGTATTGGTCCAACATAGCACCAAAATCCATGGACGGACAACAATAATCAGTCATCTTACCATTACTTGCAAAGATTATGAGAGCAACTTTTGCATCACAAAGAACTGTAATCTCTTTCGCCTTCTTCACCAACCCATTCCTCCTCTTTGAGAACGTCACAACTCTGTTGTTTGCGTTCTCTATCCTCTTTATCTCTATCTTCCCTCTTCCCATCTTTCTCTCTCTATCACTTAACTCTCTTTCTCAATTTTAGGGTTTGCTATGAAATTGTTCAGATGTGGAGGAGAGGATATGTCGTTTATATGAAGAAGAAGAAGTAAAGGAGGAGAATTGATCTCAAAGGAACATTGATGAGAGAGAGAAAGTGTTTGATTAAGCTATAGGTGAAGAGAGACTTTTGACAGTTTGGGATGGAAAACAAAGCTACTTTCTTGATGGCACAGTCATGGAAGGCTTGTTTTTGTGCTTCTCTTATTACACATAGTCATAGCCAACTCTATTCTCTCTCCTTTTGAAGTAACGTAATAAAATAAAGTTGAAACAAAATTAGATAATTTACTTAACACTCTTTGCATATGATTGATGTTTATTGCTTTCATTTGATTTGATAATCTCTGTCTCTGTCTCTTGATAGGTTAAAGTGTCGTTTTTTAACCCTTGGTCTCTTCGTAGTATGTTTTCTTCAATGTACTGTAGATAAAGATTAATTTGAATTTCTTTTAAGTAATGTAGAAAGGTTAATCTTCATATGAATCATCTTGCAAAAACTATATTGTCTATCTAACAAATTGACCCTAAATTAACTGGAAGCAACATAACGTTTTGCAACTTTGTAGAATTTAAACCAAAAGCTACTGTAGAAATAAGTCGCCATACTTTTTTTTACAGGTTCTACTTTGGTAATTCCAAGACTTGCTATTTCAAGGACTCTATGTTATATATAGGTCTTATCGAATATCGTAGCTACACTATATTAATCAAACTCAAAACAAATTAAATTATTAAAATATATGAAGATATCATGTTGTGTATGAAATGAAATAAATGTATTTAAAGTTAAATCCAGATTGATAAGAAAGATAGAAAAAATGGCAGGAAACAGTTCAATTACCGAAGACTACATGTACTCTGGTATAGCCATTGGAAGTTATCATGCTTAAGGTATTAAGGAAGAAATGTAATTGGTTGTTGAAAACAAAACAAGTTTTATGGTTTTTCTAAAATCACGTCAATCAGACACGTGTCAAGTTCTTGTTGAAGTTTGTGGTATTATGCTGTCACACTTTGTGAGTTATAGATCATTTATGTGAGATATTGGCGCTAACCAAAGAACAATCCGGTGTCTACCATCTAAAACTTTTAAACGAGATGACGTAATTTTATGCTATCTAAACGTTTACTAGCTTAAAAAATAATCATCTACCTGAAAATTTCGGATTGTCATTAATAGTTTCAGATAGATTCCGAGAAAGAAAATCGAGAGAAACGCGAATAAGTGTGAGCTAGTGAAATTTACGTATAAGAGGTGAAAGTAATCAAGCAATTCCGGGTTTGAAACCGAAATAGTTTTATGTCGCGAATTGTTAGTCTGTTAGCTTAGGTTAACGATCGAGGTATCATTTTGGTAAAGTTTAAGAAAATTTGGTACCTTAACCTTTAATGAGATATTACGAGCATTCTTTTGGCATCATCCCTTGTACTTATTTCAACCAATGGTGAATTTTTGTGGGTTACGTCTCTACCGAAACAGAAACGTACCATATTGATATAAATTGAACTTGTAGATCAACTATACTTTTTATAAACTTAGGTTCACAATCGGTTAATGTTTTGCATTCGTGAGTGATTGAAAATGTAACGAAAAATAAACAACCTGAATCAAGAGAATGAAAATATTCCATGAAAAAAATATGATGATCTATGGATATGGACAAACGAATCTTATTTTTATAACCGAGTAATCATATATCAAACACACATATTACTAATATTAAAACTTGTCGAAAGCCATAATTGATTCGCCACGTAAAAGCGTCAAATTATGACCAGAGAGACGAGTCTTAATTATTCCCACAAAGAATATGAAAACACATGACTATGATGAAACTCACGTACGTCTAACAAAGCTGAAACAAATTAGACATACATATTGATTTAACTCAATATCTCTCTCAAGTCTAATGAAATTTAAAAGAGAGCAACAAGAGCAGAAAGAAAGGCGACCAAAACAGATGCACCACCTAACGAAGAAGCAGCACCACTTCCAGCCGGAGGTGTAGTAGTAGTGGTCCCGGTAGGACCAGAAGGTGTAGTGGTCCCGGCTCCTGGGGTGGTGGAGTTGGTGCCTCCGGCACCAGGTGCTGGGGTGGTAGAACCGCCACGGCTTCCTCCACCACCAGCAGCGACTACATCGATGGCAAGTTTTTGACCAAAGCGGCAATGGTCACCGACGGTGCAGATGAAGTATTGTGGTCCGGTGGTGTTTAGCATGATTTTGACCGGAGGAATCGTCATGTGACTGATTGGTTTCTCTTTCTCGCAGTTTTCATATGCATCTTTTGTTACAACTGCCACATCATGTCTCCCAGCAGCGAAATCAAATTCTGTGTGATCATAATCATACACAAAAAATTGTTATCATAACAATAAAATGAAAAAAAAAAATGCACATATATATAGTCAGAGTCTTTCAGATTTGATCTCTGCGTGACCTATGCCTTTATTCAAAAAAAAGTGTGAACTATTAACATCAGTGTGTGCAAACGCACTTGATCTTTTTGTTTTTTTATAACAAATCTATTCAACAAAAATAGAAACAAAGACATAACAATCACCGACACGTACTTAATATGGACTGAAACAGAACACAAAGTACATATGAAACTCACCGAGCTCGTCGCCGACACGGAAAGTTTTACCGGCAGCCCAGTTAGTATAGAACTCGAGCTCGGTAGGTCTTATCCATTCCGTATCATCACCGACATCGTAGTCCTCTGCGAAAACAACCGCAGCGAAAACCAAAACCATAAACGTCACCGTTTTGAAAACTCCGGTCATTTTTGTGTTTGTGTTGAAACAACTCAGGTCACCCCCCTTCTTTTAATTTCTTTTCTTGGTTGATAACTTGATATGTCGTCTATAGAAAAGATATTTAATGACCCCTTTGATTTTTCTTTTGTGTCTTGTGGCTCAAAAGTCGTAAAGGAGAGACTTATTATATATATAGGGACACAGAGAGAGGTTCTTAAGGGGTCATTGACGCAAGATACGGGAAGACGCGTACGTGGTGTGTCTCTGTCTGTGTGTGTGTGGTAGTTGTTGAATAAATCCATCTTGGATATTTCTATCTCTCACCTTTGGTCAATTTTGTCTGCCTAGCTTTTTTTTTTTTGTTTTCTTCTTTCTTTGTTGTTATTTTTAGCGCGTAAAGTTATTCTCCGTTCCTAAATTTTGATCCACTAATTAAGATAACGTGACTAATTACTTTTTTGGCTTTTTGATTATAATTTTAGCGTTCATACTAAATATAACATCCTAATAATAACCGATTGAGATGGATAAGAGAATACTAATGTTGGGGGGGGGGGGGGGGGAAGTTAGGAAAGACCGTTCAGGGACTCAAAGTTTGATTCTAAACCGAAATATATCTATCCCTTAAAAGTGATTGGTTATTTCTGCTTCAAAGCAAAACCAAACCTAACCAAAGAAACATGATCAAGAACTTTCTTGCTCTAAGCAAGATTCACTGTTTGATACTCGTTTACTTGGACAGTTTCTCACATTATGTCCCTTTTTCTTGCAGAACCCACAAGCATACCCTCTCTTCCCAACACCATCTTCCCCGGAATCGTCACTCGGTTTCACTACCCTTGTCAGCTTCCGGCATGTTCTACTGTTGTGACCACTCTCACCGCATATTCCACATCGGTGATACCTTGTGGAAATGCCTTTAGTGACCATTGATTTCAACTTAGGACAGGTCTTTCGGTTGTGGCCTTTCCCGCCACAAACCCGACACTTATACCTTCTGTCCACATCAGTTTCCAGGTCTGGACAGTAATGGCGTCTATGGCCTTCCTCTCCGCAGTTCTTGCAGTAAAATTTAATTCCTGAAAATGAGAATTATTTTAGAAAAATGATTCTTTACCATTTCATGGCTTGCACAAGAATCTGTCACCAGGAAAAGAAAAGCAAAACCTTTATTTCTATTCGCTGACACCCACATTAACGAAATATTCAGTGCCAGTGTGATCCAACGATATACTACTGCTACTTAAAGTAACAGGCCTGAACCTAATTCATCTCACATTACTAGCAAATGCAAGCAGAGAAAGTTCCAGCAACAATAATAAAGGAGCTATAAATTGAGCTACGAAACTCAGATGTACCTTTCATGGATAAGCTCCTCTTTTCACGGTTTTCAGGGTTACTGAAGAAAGTTTTCATAGATTCGGACGCATGCTTTCTAGCAGATGGTGTTCCTTTAGCTTTCTAAAGCACAATAACACTTAGCAGAATCAAGGAAAAAATCAAAAGTTGTTCCATGTTAATTTAGTGTTTAAAACAAATGGAGTTGATTACTGACCTTAATTGCAGCTACCCTTTGAGCATGAAGCACGGGATCACGATGTATAATCTTCATTCGCTTACTAAAAAGTCCGGTCTTGGCATTGAGACTCTATAAAAGCATATTGAAACTGAATATAACAATCCCCCATGGAGAGATTATAATATCATGAAGAATTTCTGAAACTAACTTTTAAAGATCGGCTGATCTTTTGTCCAACTTCAGGAGGCGGTGACTGGTAAATCCGCTTAGATTTGCCTCTTCTACTGAACTTTATCTCTAAATTATCAACCTCATCGTCTTCCTTTACTCTAAATGGAGAACTGAGTCATAAGAAAAAGGAAGAGATTTATTAGTCAACAATAAACAGAGTTGAGATGTCAACTCTTCTTGAATCACACTACCTTGATCTAGCTTTCTCCCAAGGTCGTTCATCGATTGATTCTTCCCAGATGACACAATCTCCCAAGCATCTGAGACAAGTCATTATGCCCTGCACATATTTAAGCATAGTTCAATAACGAGGAAAGAGTGTTTTGTTACTCAAAAGTTTGAAGTCAATCTGTTCAGAAGCCATAAACTCTTTAAGTACCTTTCCTTTGCATTGAGGGCAATCCAGCCTCGGCCTCTCGATCCCGCAATTTGAGCATGAAGTATAACCTCTTCCTCTACAAGTAGGACAAGGAAGCTCTCGAATGTACTGACCGTTGGGACCAAACCATGACCTCGGCTCGCGAGAATCACCAGATACATTCCTGAAGAAACCATCACCAATAGCACGTTTTGATGTTCAATCAAATTATGTATTAAAAGATTTTGTTAATCATCTTGGCCATGGTTAATTTCTTGATTTATGAAATCATTAAGGATCTTCATTTCTTTATTTCATGTTCTTCGAAGTGCTTTGCTTTTACGTTTTAGTACAAATAAGGATAAGCATGGAGTCATCCAGGCTAGAGAGAGCTTTGGAGGTTTAATGGGTTTTTTTCAAACAAAGGGAAAAAGCTTTGAGCTTTTATTACCGCTTTGGGTTTGTTTGGTTCTTACAGTAAATCTAAGTGGTTTCGAGTTTTAGTTCAGCTTTTCCAGGAAACTGAGAGTATCAACAGAACTATAATAAGTCAACATAACAGTGTGATCAGACTCAATGTGGTGGAGTAATTACAAAAATGAAGAACAGAAGAAAATGAAATCGACATGGAAAGAGTTATGGAATCTCTAACCTGGGCTTGAAATCATCACCAAACAGTTCCTCTGAAGGATCATAACCCAAGTTTCGCTATTCAAAGACAGGGGAGAAAAAGGTGGAATTCCACCAATGAGAATGTGAGTAAGAATGAGAATGTATACGATTTTCAAAGAGATAAGAGATGGTGGTGAGTAAATAATACGTTGTTTTGTCTGGAGGATGAAAGTGAGCCATTGTTGTTGTCCGAAGAAGAAATCGCGCGAGGAAAGAAGGCGAATTTTGTGTTGGGATTGACAAGAAGTAGAAATCGGGTGTGCTTCCTTCTCCACTGTGGCTGCAAAACCTGAAATCCAGCATAAATCGAGCACATGAGGAGAGAACAAGCCCAACCAAAAAAAAAAGAAGGGCAGCTCAAAGGAAGATGAGGAACACTCACCACCACACACGAGTGTTCGTCTGTAAAAAGACAAAAGAGAAGCTTTACTTTGCTTTGTATCATGCGTCGAGACATGTAAATTAGTTATTTACTTATGACTGAGGTATCGCGTTCGTGTACATTGTTCTTTATTTTCACTCTTTTAAGACTTCCTTGAATACTGGGAATGACTTCAATAAACTTAGGAGTTTCAGAAAAGTAGCATCACGAATTACATCTCTCCCGAAGGAACAAAATCTTCATGACAAAAAGATTGGAAAACGAAAAAAAAAAATGAAACAGAGACCGTCGTCCTTGTTCTAACAGCAAACACCATCACTTCCTGGTGAGCTGAACGATATTCTCTCTGGCTTTTCAGATCCAAATGTGAATTTGATACCTAACTTCTCATCATCCTCATTGATCAATTCTTCGCTCGTAGCGGGAAAAGCGAACACCAGAGGCAGCTTATCTCCTCTCTTACCGCCGAAACCAAACTGAGGAATCTCATCTTCTTTTGTTGCTTCATGACGACTTGTAATGGCAAGACCACCACTTGGCGCTGCACTTGTTGTGAATGGCATGATAGATGGAGTTGTCGGCTCCGATGATGTTGCTCCATCAGATGAAGAGACCGGGAATGTGAAGCTAGCGTTTGAACCCGAAGGGCCTGCCCATTGGAAAGGCTTGGATACTGAGATCGATGGAAGCACCCGTTTATTATTTCCCAGTGAATTAGATGGTGGTTTATGGAGATTTCCGGAATCGCCTCCAAAAGTATAGGAAACAGCTTTTGTAGCGTCCTGAGAAGAAGCGACCAACTGCAATTCAGTTTTCCACAATTTTAAATCTCAAAACTGTCAACAGAGATACATGACTACCACAAAATTACCAACTGTTAGAAGTATATCCCGTTTCCAAAGAAATCTAGATTACTATAAAGTCACAAAAGAAGCAAAACGTCATGAGGCTTATTTACATCCTTAAGTTTGGGAATATCTTGAGGTCCTTCACAATCAAAAAGTCAAAACATTATAACAGCAACGAAACCAAAACCCTAAACCCTCATGCAAAATGCGGTAAAGAAAAAGAAGACAGGTGCTCGAAATACCTTTTCATGTGAGCTTCCGGAAAGAGATCCCTTAGGCTTCCCTAACTCATTTTGGAGTGCGGTACCACTACTGCTTCCACTAAATATTCCATTTGATGCTGAAGCACTTTTTGCCATTGCATTTTGAGAGTCACTGGTGGTAACTGCAGAAACTTTGGGCGCAGAGGATTGCGAATTATGAGAAAAAACGTTCAGGACATCTTCATTCAACTTGGCTGAGACATCCTTCTTCACATTGTTGATGTTCGAGCTGCTTTTTTCAACATCTATCGAAGACTGTGGATGTCTCCAAGAAGTGGCAAGCTTTAACTCAGCAGATTTATTTTTCGGGGTGGGCGGCTGAGCCCGGTTAAGGTGATCCAATATCGTCCTAGCAATCTGACGAGAATGTGCAGGCACAGTCGGGGTACCAACTTCTGACCCTTTATGCCTACCATAAGTTGTTGTCTGGGACTTAGATAGGCTACTTGATTCTCCTGCTTCAGAGCTCTTCATGACAGCAGATTTTTCAAAACGAGATGTACCACTGAAAGGTCGTGAATAAGGAGACATCGTCGCGCTCTGGCGAGATCTTCTACTGGGTCCAAAAAGTCCACCATCCCTTCCCTTGCTAAGATTGAGCTGGGCACATTAGGAAGTGATTTATCAGGTTTCAACAAAGAAAATAGGGGTCAGCACATAGAAGGAATCCAAGAAACATTCAACAGGCAGCATAGTGATGATTCTAATTTAGAATCAAGTTTTGAAAAATGTTAACAAGACCTAGAGGATCAACATAATGAATGTAAAATGAAAATAACTCCAGTAAAGTCGAGGCAAAGATGTCCACAAATTTAGTCATCTGTACAACTGCATACTCGATCTATTCTTCTGTTGCCTAAATCACATCTACCACCATATCATTTCACATACCTTAAGTATACATTAGACGACAAGTCAACCAATGCTTAAGCAAGTGGAAAACGATTTCATCAATCTAGTGGTAATTACTAACATCTACCGTGAGATAGAGAGGCGATCCTAATAAATAAGATTTACACTTAAAAAGCTACACCCTATCTGATCAAGTTGGTCAACAGAAAATGTATATTTTACAATTCCCGCGGAACAACTTGGACACATATTTTGAAAAACTACGATATAATTGGATTATGAAGGACATCTTGCTGAAATACAAAGGGAAAGTGTATCATGATAACTTGGACACAGACAGGAATCCAACACATCCGGGCAGAATACCATATTTTCATTAAGATTGCCTTTAACTTAACAAAAATAAATAGCACGTGCACACTAGATATTACAGCTAATCAAAATTATATAGCCCACTGAGAGAGTTTACCTGGCCATATCTTGACTGCACACTATGAGAAGGAGACTGGAGGGTGCTCAGGCGCTTGCTACTATTGTCTTGCAATTGCATCAACTGAGCAAAAAAGGGAACAGTTCAATATACATAAATGCTTTGAGCAAAAAGGTATTCAGAAAAACTCCACACACCTGTGACTTAGAACTTGAAAGGATGGATCTAGGATATGGGGTCCTTGGAAAATTTTGAAGCCCATAGCTTTCACGTTGGCTTTGAGGAGTTGCAAAACCACATTGCTCATTTAACTTGACACCAGGCCAACATGCGGAAGGCTTGCTTGATGGTGATGCAACTGAAGAATTTGCTACAAGCATACCCCCGTCGAAACAATTCTTTCCGTTTCTTGCTACAAAACCTTGGGACGTACTTGATGATGCCTGGCCTCCCATATATGCCTTAGCGAGTTCTACCGGTGATAGACCAGCTTTATCCCGCACCTGTTTGCCTTCGTCAAAAATCTATTAAAAAAAAAAGAAAATGACGAAAAAGTTAGTATATTATAAATTAAAATAAATAAGGCCTACTTACGTAAGACAAGTTAACTCTTTGATGAAAGAAGTACGTGAACTTACATAGCTCTACCTATTTACCTATTTCTTCATATGACTTCACAAATAGTCCAACCTCACACAAACCTCATAGACCAAATTCTTTTGGATACATAACTTAAGAACTTATATACTCAAATTACTTCTAAAGCCTGCCAAACTAAACTTTTCTGGCAAAGTGGAATAGCCTGAGCAACCCATGTAAATTGCTAGTTTCGTTAAAACGTCCAAACAAAAAAAGGTAGCAAGCGACTCACTATTGACTTGGCAAGTGGGATTGGTGTAGCCCAAAATTCACTAGTAGCATCCTTGCCACCAATGGGCTCTTTTCCCTTATCAAGAAAACTCATATCTTTCTTGGCTTCCTCTCTCAGAGGAATCTCTATTCTCTCGTCTCTCGTGACATCAGGTCGATCAATAGCCCTTGAATTTATTATCTCTATGAGACGATCAGTTTCCGACCTGGATAGAGATTAAAAGATGTCAGTGTCAAAGCCGTCTATGTAAACAAAAACAAACAGAACTTCAAAGAAAGATGCAGAAAAGCCAGGAAAGATAAGCAGCCAGTCAATAGATATCTATTGACCAGACATGACTATAAGCATTAACAAAATAAAAACCAAAAGGAACTAAATTTCGATCAAACATCATTTAAAAAGCAACTCATGTACTAACATGATATAACATACCGTGAAAACGTTTTTCCTTCCATTAGCCTTTCAAGCTCCGAGATCGCAATGACATCATTTAAAGCTCCTTTGCCTATTGTCTGTGCACTGATATTGAGATTGCTTTCGTTCACATTTGCGGTACTACTAGTACCTCCCTCTTCAATTGGTGCTAACTCCGGTTTCTGCAAATTTCTCAAATCAAATAAATGGAAAAATTGATGTATACCATTCTACCGCAAATAACAACAAAAGCAGGCATCATATGAAGAAATAACAGATAGCAGAGAAAAAAAATTGTTTTAGTTTATTCCGAATCAAGAGAAAGTTCCAATTCAAGAACCGTAAAATTACATCTTTCTTAGGTGATACAAGAATACTTTTATACTTTAATATTACGACAATCTCCCAGAAGAAACTTGCATGACTGTTTTCTCTGGTAACACATTCTTTATTCCATTTATGACCTACATAAAGTATACCGCTAAGAGAATAACAGTTTCTTATCGTAGAGTACCTTGATATTTAGAGATCTATGTATACAGAGACCCAAGGGCAAAGAGTTATATATAGCAAAAAATCATTTGAATAAGACTTCATCATGATAAAGAATGCTTATAGATTGTAGCTGCTATTTGCACAAGGGGTGTGATAAATGGTACATGACAAACAAAAAAAAAAAACTTTAGCAAGGACAAAAACTCAGCTTAGCTAAAGCGGCATTTTCCATCAGAGATTAAGAAAAGACAGAGGAGTCGAAAGAGCTTACATTTAAACTTGGTGTTATACTGGGATAATTCTCCTGTGGATCTTCCTGCAACTTATCTAGTAGAAAAAGAGGCCAAATGTTAACAGTGACATTTTCAACGAAATCTATAAGACTATATTAGACAACTAGAAGCAGGGATCACTCATCTCTCTAAACTATTATTTAAATACATCCCCAAAAGATGAGACAACTGTTGTTCAAACCCACTTTTCAAGCAAAGATACACCCATCACTCACTTCATACTAAAAAGCTAGTTAGTAACAATAATGTGAAAGTAGACTCACAAGCACAAAAGATAACAAAGACCAAATTGGGTGACAAGAGCATCTTACTTGACCATTAGAATCATGAGCGAAACGCAAACAAAAAGGCCTTTACTCATATATAATTTACTTGATTCAAAACCAAAAGATCCCTATCTATCCTGGTGATTACGGCTTCTAAATTCCAGCATTGAAACAATTTCAACAAAAACCCTAGATACTCGTATACACGGAAATACAATCATAGAGATATGTTAATATAATCAACACCCCCAAAACAGTAGAAAATCCCAGGAAGACAAGTCTTATACGAAGCTAGAAAGAGCGAAAAATAAACCTTGATGTTGATTTTGATCTTCCGGAGGTGTAAGAGCAGGAGCGGAGGCTGGGTTCGAGAAGAAGTAGGGGAGTAGTTTCGTAGCGCCGCCGGAAATAATCCGATAAGCAGGATCTACGATTCTCGAGATCCACGGCCTCCGTTGAACCTGGTTCTGAGGCGGTCGAGAATACGGCGTCGCCGGATGCCTCCTCGCGGTTTGCCGCCTCAATTTGCCACCTATACCTCTCGCGGCCTCGCTCGACGTTGCAGCCGCCGCAGAGAACGTCGCTTCTCCTTCAGTGGCCATGTCTCTCTCTTTGTTTCAGTGTTCCTTTTTTTTTTTCTCAATCTTTCCCCGCTATAAATAAATATTTTCTGTTTGTTATTTTGAGCAGAAATATTCGGAGAATTATTATGATTTTTTTTTTTTAAGTCAAAGGGTTCTCTACTTCTCATGCGAGTTGTTTGTTGACACTTTTCTACTCCCTTGTTTTTTTTTTTTAGGAAAACGTTTCCCAGAAAATCCAGAAAATCCAGAAAATCAATAGAGTTTTAAAAAAAACATGAAAACTGGATAAAAAAAATAGGAAATCAGTAGAGTCCCCAAAACAACACTTCGTCCAATGCTGCTTCCACTTCCGGACATTTACATTTCTCAAAGGCTTTAAATTACTCATTTTTAGCTTCTTTTTGGCGGGCAAAACTTAAGTTTAGCTTTTATAGTTAACAAGGTTATTAATATTAGAGTTTAAACTTTAATTTAACTAGACTTACTTATTAATACTTCACATTTAAAAGTTAACATTTCGAATGAATAAATGTCAAAAACTAAGCCGCCACATGTTTTTATTGAATAAATAATTATGCACATGTTGAATAAGTAAAAAATAAATAATTATGCATGAGTAATTTAGGTATTCAAGTGTATAATAGCTCTAAGTTAGGTATTAATGTGTGTAATTTCATCACTATAAATAAGAGGTTTGAGTGTTTGAATAAGCCAAGTAAAGTCATGAAATCGAATATAAGAAAAAGTTTGAATGTTTTTGTAATTTGTGAGTATTTGATATAAATAAAATATCCTCTTTGTATATTCATTTCTTCTGTTATTTAAATAATTTTTTAAATACTTTTGATATTAATAAACTTTGTTTGTGATTGTACCCACTATGTATTTGTAATTTGTAATTTGTGAGTGTTTGATATAAATAAAATATCCCCTTTGTATATTCATCTCTTCTGTTAATTAAATAATCTTTTAAATACTCTTAATCTTAATAAACTTTGTTTGTGATTGTAAGTTTGGTATGCCATGGCAGTCTTGGTCGTGGGACTATCTTAACGGTGTAGGGTTGATCCGCTTTACATGCTTACTCTAAACAAGTGCTCATCTTTCTGAAGACCCAAATAACTATTCGACTCAAGCGATTAGAGTGTGTGAGTATTTGTGAGCTTGGGACTATCCTAACGGTTGTAGTCCATACATGATCACGGCTCACGAACTTTACTGCCACCCTACTCTTGTTCCCATTTTAGTGAGGCGCGTTTTGAGTTACCGAATTGCCATTGGAGCTCGTGGTCAGTCCACCCTTGACCCACTTCTGCTTTCAGAAACGAAAATTGAATCTAAAAAAAAAGGGCTTTTCATTCTTGTAAATTTTAATGAGTTAAAAAAAAAAGAAGGTCTAGTTCAATTAAATTTTTGTGAAAATAGGATAATTCTTCCTATGTTCGACTCCGTCATGATGGATGGTTAAAAGCAATATCAAGCGACCAGCTACAGGTTTTGATGATCTATATCATACATGGCTTTATTCTGAAGATTCATAGGTGGGATGGTTCCTAAATCAGAAGGGAAACAAAAGATAGAAGGATCTGGAATCATCACTCTTATCACAAAACTCATGGTTGTACTCCATTGTAACAGCCTAACAGGCTAGGTGTGTGGCTTCATTGTAGAGATAGGTCAGTTTCATCTAAAAACAAATACCCTGAAAACTAAATTCATTTGTATGCCTTAAATTTCCAGTTATTAAAGAAAATTTCAGACACAGACCACACCGCTATTTTGTGTCAAGAAATATATCAAAGCCTCAATGGTATTTACATCCCATAAAAAATGCAAAACTTTTTATTCCATTTCTTATGTTTCTTCCAGTGGTATTACTACAACTGAGACAAATTCTTAACACTGAGCAAGAGAAATACCCCATAAGAGGCCAACAATAAAGAATTCACATTAAACAAAAGGGTTAGATAGATCATAGACGACACACGTTTTACCTAAATCTATATAAAAATAAATGGATGAAGATGCGAGACCATGACTTAAGACATGGCTGTAATTGGAGAAGGTCCGGTGAAGAAATTCATTCGAGAAGTTTGAGGCTCAAATTCTTCATGTCTCTCTTCCTCCTCTTCTTCTTCTTCCTCTTCAGCATCCCAAAGAAATCTCGCATATGAAGCTTGTACATAACTGTAGAAACAACAAAGTACATGAGTACAAAAGCCACACTAAATACTACTAAAAGTCGCAAAGAAGAGAAGAGAGAGAGCTTGAAAAGTTGAAAAATCTAAACTTACCAATCCTCAGGAGCAGCAGCTACAGCTTGATTGAAGTAAGTCTCAGCACGAGATGAATCCTTATGGACTGTCCACACCAATTCCGCGTACATGGCCAGAACATTCCCATCATTAGGATTCGTCAGAATTGCTCTCCCGCAATATTCCTCTGCTTTCTTGTAATCTTTTCGAACCTGTTTCAAATCATAACACATCAACACTCAATCTTGATAATTCATAAAATCACAATCTAACCAGCAGTTTCACTTCAGATCTGGGAAGAGAACAGAAGGTAGAATAGAAATATATATATGTACCTCTTTCAAGAATTTGGCGTAATTACTGAGAAAAATCCCGTTTCCAGGATTTGCTTCAATCATCTTGCGATAGTGAACATCTGTGCTGTCATTCTCTCCATCTCCATCACCACCGTCAGATCTGCCGCCGCTCCTTCCCTTTCCTCCGCCGTGGATCATCCCACCACCACCGCCACTAACCTCAGTATCCTCCTCCAAAGCCCAGCTCAGCCCAAAATCACCATCGTAAGACGAATTGCGTATAAGGCCGAATCCGATCCCTTCTTCCACGTCCTCCATCAGAGCACCGGTCAGGAACTTACTACTACTCGATGGCTTCGTCGTCGATGTCGTCAAGTGTCGTAGATCGCTATCTGACGCCGTCCTTTTCATCCTCCTTGTAGATTCGTCACTAGAGTGAACAGACATCGGGCTATAACAGCAAGAGGACGATGCAGAGAGCATCAGAGATCTGGGCCGTTGAATCTCCTCCATTGGAGATTCCCTTGGACTCGAGACATGAACCAATGAGTTGAGAACTGGCGTCGACGCGCTCCGTAGTAGCATATTTTCTGGATCTAAGTCGGAGATTCTTAGGTTTTGCTTTCTACGAATCGAAAGAAGAAGAAATGTATCGAGATTTGTTTTTTTCCAGGTTTATAGCTGTAACCTATGAGCTGGGCGATGAGAACATTGAGAAGTGAAGACGGTGCCTTATATACGCTAGGTGAGGAAGGTAGTGGAAAAACAATCTAAGCCGTCTATTACGTTTTCATCACGTGAAAGTTTGATCACATTTATTTTATTTTTTGTTAACTAATTCGATATTTTTTTTGTTTTTAAGTTTTTGGTTAGCTTCTTTCTCCAAGTTGTGTACCAAAATGATTTTTGATTTGACTTTTCATGTATGATTAAATGTGCGTATTCTTCTGCTCTGTTCGTTAGTACTAGTAGGAGGACTAAGTTTTTTTTTTTTCTTTTTTTTCTCCTCACCTTTAAACAACTTTATCATGTGTTAATCAACCCTTATTATTGTTATAACTGAGAAGTGACTTTCTAATTGTTGATTTTAAGATTCAAATTGAGGTTAACTGAGAACATTTTAAACTAACCTAAATAAATAAATGAAGAAATATAGTGACAAACGCCGCACTTACTTTCACTGCTTGTGAAATTTGGTTCCCAAAGGTCGCGGATTTGCAAATGGACGGCAGTTAACAATTACCAAATATGTACATGGCCAATATTTCTCTACAAATCACACGTGAGACCAAAACATTTTATTGTTGTGTTTCACAACGTCATGTATGATGTATTGCAGCATGCGTGTATACGTATATGTGTGCAACTCAAAACAAACACAATAAAATGAAAAGTAATTTATATGAGTATATCAAGTGGGTGGGTCCTCCTTTGATTGTACGGTTCACGGTTCCATGTGCACCCAAGGCTCACGATCTACTACTAATCGACGAATTTTCCCCATAACCATTTCAATCTTTGATTTTTTTGGGCCCCATTCTAAGTTGATAACATGACCTATATACGTTCTTGTCTTTGATACATACTGAAATTATACAATTTTTAACGAAATCGCTGGGTTTTTTTTTTGTTGCAACTTTTCATGGCAAATCTTAATATGATTTACAGTTTTAAACCAGACCTCCTCTAGGTCCAAAACAAAAAAAAAAAAACGTTTGCAAACATAAAATGAAAAAAGCATAATGATTTATATAATTTATGATGTAAGAGGATGTGAGTTTTTGCCTTTTTGGGTAAGAAATATTAATATTGGTGCTTCTGTTTACCTCACAACTTTGGTTTGGTTTACCCTGTTATCAGGGTCTTAACCATGTTTAAGCGCTCGCTGGTGCTTTTGTTATTCCATTTAGCTTAATGCTGTCTTTTGTATGTTTAGCCTTTGGATTGGTTAAATGAAATATATTTCAAAACATATATATATTAATATTGTAAGTATTAAATATGGACCTAAAAAAACGTAAATTTCAAATTTTTGTATACTATAAAGAAGAAATCATATTGCAAGACTCTCTGTTTTTATATAGGTATATACTATTACCATTTGAATAGAAGTAAAATTTAAAGCTCTGATTCTGAAACTAAAATTGCAAGAAGACAACACTATCAAGTGAAACATTTAATCTGACATTAGAACTCAATCAAACGTTCAACAAACAACTCCATTATATTCAGAGAGTCGTGATATCATACGGTCCACCTAACAAGATGAGCTATTAAGATCAAGCTAATTTTCATTGGCAGGCGACCCTGAACCTTTGAAACATTATCATGTTCGAATACAATATAAACAAGTGAAATGTGTAATTATCCATATCAATTTTGTTGTTTGTTATGAAAGAAACACAATTATATCATTCATCCCCTCCTCGATATCAATTGGTTAAAAAGGCAGCGGAAATGGAAAATTACAGAAAAGGGTGGTGTGTCAATTATTGATGAGGTGATTCCTTTTGGAATCAAGCTGTTAACGAATTGAAGGAAATTAAAACAAAAAAGTAATAAATAAGTGTTATGTCCAAAAGAAGAAGTGTCCAAAGATTGGAAAGTGGGGGCCCCACGGGATATGCTCATTGGGTGGGCTTCCTGTGACCTCACCTGTAGGACCCGCGCGCCCGAGAGCTCAACGGTGGAGAAAGAGAAGAGGTCATTGTCGTGGAGAAGGTCTTCGTCTTTCCCCATCTCTCCTTATTTCTTTGTGTTTGATTTGCATCAAGTGGGTGTGCTTTGTGCAGCCCCAGTTTTATAATCATCTTTTGATATATGACCTAGCTTGAGTTACTTTTTCTTTTTAGCACACTCAATTTAGAGTTAATAGTTATAAACATTTTTCAAATATAAGTTAGTTGAAATTTGTCTTCGTACGAGCTGTGGTACAAGAGTTAACTTGCTAGTTGCTACATAGTACATAGTATTGGATTCAAAAACTTTTCGAGATGATAAATTGTTGTGATAATCTAGCAGCAAAGTGTTGCAAATACAGTTAGTTTGTATAAATTGATTTTGAATTATGCCGTATTAGCTTTCTTTTATCTAAATAAACTGAAATGATTTTAACATCTAAAATTATTTCATGCTGCTTTAATATTTTATTTTGATTCACCAACAAGTCATTTTGTATTTTTCAACGCAGATTTTAAAACAGTTTTACCCATATTGATTCAACTTTTTTAATCATGTGATATATTAATTTGCAAAAAATAGTTGTATATTAGTAAAAAAGTTGAATAGAAACGTAAATATTTTAAAATGTACGACGCAACATATGTTTCACCGAGAAATTCTAAAAAGCAAATATTCAAGTGTGTCATATATCTCTTTGTTCAGGTCATGTAAGGCGCAAGCAAATCAAGCGGGTCTAGAAGAGCCTACAACTGACCAAATTAAAAAGTGTTGAGATATACAACAAATGTTTCATCTCACGAGAAATCGGATAACAACTCCAGAGGTCAAAAAGGGAAATGCTGGTTTAACTTACTAGTTCCCTTGTTTAAAGAGAATGGAGGCAAGACCTGCCCTCCATCCGAAAACCGCTGCTGGCTCAGTCCTTTTGTGTAAAAGTGATGCCAGACCGGCTGATACGCCTTGACCAGGCAGCTTCAACACCTCCTGATTAGCAATCGACTCAGACATCCTGTTTTTCATTGTCACAAAATACTTTCAAGTTAAGTTTCTTGTTACTTTCAACTCTTCAAAGGAAAACAAAGATCCTCTCAATGACTCACTTTGTATCTCATGTTTGTTTGTGAGAGATTGGTTTCAGCAGTAGATTTACATATAAAGAAACCCCAATAAAAATTTGAAACCTTGGGTTTAAGTAACCGTTCAATAGGCTAATATTCAAAGAAAACAGTAAGTGATTCACAATGGTCAAATGAAAGCAGAGACTTTGCTTCTTTAGCATCTTTGCACGAGCCAGAAGCACCCATCTAACGTCGTTAATCATCCAAATGCGAAAAAGAAAACAATTTGAGAACACAAAATTCACTTACAAGGGAGGAGGTATAATCCCATCATGAGCGATTGAGCAGTATCCCTGCCTTTGCTTGTGCTTTGGATTGGATGAACATATCACATACACTCGTCCACGACGTTTCACTGTCTTACAAAACTCACACATCTTCTTCACAGATGATCTCACCTTCATCGTTCCTCACTCTACAATTCAAAATAGCATTAAAGAGTGCACAACACCTTAAATCTCGCGGCGCAAAACCCATCATTAGATTACGAGAGCTCTTCAAGGATTTACATTGAGATTCAGAGCTAAAGATTTTATCCTCTAGACATCTCATTTCTACTTGTATACTTAAAACTTATTCCTAAATTGTAACTCTTGGTTAATCTGATAATGGAAGCTGAAGTAAAATGAATCTGAAGCATCGACCTCTAACTACACACAAGTGCATATCCCACATAGAAGAAAGTGAGAGCAATCCTCTAGCTAGATCCAGATACGAAATCGAATGAAAAATCACGGTGAAAATTCAAATCAAGAAGAACCGATGAAGCGAAGAACAACAAGATACCTGCGAATTCGAAGGCGACTACGAAGACGAAGCGATCGATACCCAAATCGGAAAATGAAAGGGTTTTACAGAGGAGTTTTTGGCTAAACAAGGCATTTGCAGAGTTTTTGGTACATAATGGGCTTTTAATGGGCTTTATTTTTACTTAGGCTAGCTAGACCCGAAACAAGATCCGGAAAAGTTACGACCCGAGATTGTTAGATCTAAATAAAAACGATTTGAAGCGGCGAAGCGTTTGCCGACTGTGTCACCGTCGACATTCAGTTTTGATGCTCTAGAAATTTTGGGGTTTCACCGGGAAAATTTGCTGTACGAAATGGACAGCGACATGGAAATCTCTCTCGACAGGCTTCCCATTAAACGATTGGAATCTATCGAAGAAAACGGCGCCGAGCGTTTTCCTTCTGATGTTAATTACGATGATAAGAGAGTGTCGCTGATTCGGAGAATAGACTTCGCGTGGGCGTTAGAAGAGGAAGATGAGCTGAAGAAGAAGAAGCAGAAGAAGAGCTCCAAAGAGAGCTCGGAGCAATGGCAATGGAAGGGTATGGTGGAGAATTTGCAGTTGGCTCATCAGGAGCTCTCCGTCATCATAGACCTTATCAACACTGTGAGTGGCTCTTTGCTTACACGATATGATACTTTTTAGCAATGATTGTGTGCTATGGAGTGGATTTCGTTGGGCGTTTATGATCCTGACTTTCGTTATGGGGGTTTTATAAGTTCTATCATCTGCGTACTTATTGGTACTTTTTGTTGAAAATAGATAAGAATTTTGTATATTCATATTCAAATGCTCTTAGATGGATGCAGCAACTCTTTGTTTAAATTATAGCTCTTTAGTATCTGTTTACTGGTTAATGGAAGGAGCTGTAGTTTGGTTACTTTATGCTGTCAAAGAATTGAGAACAACAGTTTCTTAATGTGTCAAAAAGGTTGCAAAATAGATGGTATGTACTCATACCAAGGGGCAGAAGTGCTTTTGCGGTAATGTTTAATGAATAGAGAGTTAGACTTTTCAATTGATTTTCTGATTTTATCTTTGTAGGTCGAGGCAAATGATGCAGTAACAGTCGCTGGTATGACTAAACCTAAGCCTATGCCGAATGAGTTGCTCTCAGATCTTGCTGTGTCTACTGCTACCAAGTTACAGAGCTACCGGGTAATCAGTAGCTTACTTTCTTATGTCCAAATTAACTTTTTTTCAAAAATGGAATGATTGTGGTAATTGTATTAGCTAGATAATGTCCTGAGAAACTGTTGGGAAAGAATGAACTTACTGACGTAAAGAGCTTTTTTATTATATAATTATATTTGGATGGTAATCTTGCGAGCTTATGTCATCTTTGAATACATGTTGCCTCTGCAGCATTTAGGAAAATACTTCAAGCAATCAGCAAAAGCTTTAGAGCAGAAAGTCAATCGCGAAGCAAGGTTTTATGGTGCTCTTATCAGGTTCGATTATTTGCTAATAAACTTTCTTTTAATGTCAGATCATATTTTTGCGAATAAGATACTTTAGGGAAACCTCTATCTTCTTCATCTTCTATGCCATTTTGCAGACTTTTCGTTTTGCGTTGTCATAGCTATTTGTGTTATGCTCAGATCAATTGTGTCCCATTTTTGGATCTAGGACAATTAGGCTCACTTGTTTTTTTATATTGTATGGCTGTGATTAACGTGGAAGCATTTTATTATTCTTGCTATGAAAGAATTTCAAAGCTGGAGTGCTGGACGTCTACAGTCTTTGTTTCTAAATCCTGCATAGTACAGTATGTCAGGAAACATCCAGTTTGTTGTGTAAGGGCTTTTTAGGAGTATGCCAACACTAATTAGAGAAACTCTGTTGACAATTTGTAGTTTGAGAAAAATGCTTGGATGACTTCAGATTCCAGAATATGAGATTTTTTGTTATACTTGTAAATGGTTCTTTTTGCTATGGCTGGCAAGCTTATAGGTTGCAGCGGAACTGGAAAGTCAAGCGACAGCGTGTGCTTGCTTCAAACGCCAGCAATGAGGGCTTCACGATTGATCTTTCTGACAGTTCATTATATGATCCGACTTCTGGTTTTCGCCCATCTACGCTGTCCACTATTCGTGTAGAACATGATTCAGCTGGTATGCTGGCTATTAATCTACCCCAAGACTCATGGTACTCTCTTCGGTTTGGGTTTGTTGGCTTAAATTCGATTGATAACCCAAACGAGTCTGCCGAGCATATAGACTCCACTACTGGTCAGGATACAACATCGGAGAAGCTATCTGTAAGTGACGAGGAATCTGTTAAAGAAACTCATTCGTTACTGAGGGAGGTGCATAAATCGATTTTTGCCGAGCAGGTGGTTTTTTTGTCATATATCTCGTACTACACTTGGTATATCTCTCCATGGCATTTTCTCACTTCTTTGGTCTTCTTACAGTTGTTTGACATGCTCAATCGTGAAGCATTCAGTGAAGGTGTGGGATTCAGCATTAGCGGAATACGAGAAAATTTTCTGGAAATGAGCATCGGCCAAGGAGCTTCTTTGTTTGTATCTCTCTACCCATCGGGCAAAAATGCCAGCATCAAGAAGTCGGAATCTGCAATAGTGCCCATGGAATCATCTGGCGGAATAGAACTAGTAGAAGGAGACAGTCGTGTGAAGAAGCTAGGTTTCCCTAGTCGTGCCAGCTATGACATATACTTGCAACAAATTTTTCATGAGCATGTCTTTGGAAAAGCTAAGGATCAGACCAAGTCAAAAAGTAGCCAAGCATCCAATCAAACCGCAAAGGACAACAATTCGGGACTTCTTGATCATTTCTGCTTATCTTTGGCTCATAGAATCTTCTCAACTAGAGTTGTTGTGCAACTGGAAAGCGTGGTATTTTTTCCCTGCTGCGTTAAACTTTATTGGATGATCATTCTCTATCACGAAACTTGTTGTGATCTTAGATCATGCCTTTTTCTAATAATTGCTGCTTCCTCGTCGCACAGGTCTGCAAGGTCCCGTATCTTCATTTGATATCTCATCCTACATGGAATTCTCGGACATCTTCATGGACTGTCTGCATGACTGTTCCTCCATCTATCATCCCGCAAGGTAGTTCTGAAACTCAGTCTCTAGATGGTAAGAGGAATCTTAAGACGCAGTTCCGGACAAAAGTGGTGGTGAAGGATGATTGCATTAGTGTAGAAGCGGAATGCACGCCCAATGTGGTAGGCTTACTGAAAAGCAGTTCCTGCAATTTATTCTCTATGAACAAATACGAGTGCGACTTGGCCGACCTTCCCGTGATAATTCTCCAACAGGTATGTTCAGACATACTCTTCTTGTCCTAAAGATTCATGTCCATAGCATTAGTTTCTTGAAACACGCATTTTATTAAAGGGAAATATATATATATATATATTTTTTTTTTTTAAAACGAGAAGGTGACGAGCCAGATTGTGTGTTGGCTACTGGAGGAAGCGAGGACCGTTGGGACAAAAGCGAGCCGGGATTTTTTGTCGCTGTCGTTAGAGATTGTGGAAGGGGAGAGAGTGAGCCTTGTGGCTCAAGTAAACCCTGAAGACGCAAAGGGATGCATCTCGTGGTGGCTTGTGATGGAGAATGGCTGCACCGAGGAGAGGAAAGGAGTGTCCGAGAGTCGGAAGTTGTTGGGTCATTTGTCTCTCGATGTCTTGTATTCTGTTCTCATGGATTTGATTAACTTGTGTGGTAGTGGTCGGAATCCTTTAGACAGATTGTGAAAGATGTAAAATTTGTTTATGGATTAAGGGATTGTCATTTGGTTTTTGTCCACACTAAGTTGATTGGATTTGGTTTAAAAGAAACAACAAGATTTCGGTATTGACTATTGAACATGGAGATAATATGCATAGAAGAAACTACTGTAATTCGGATGTTGTTTACATTCTATGAAAGACATAATTACTTAATTGCAGAAATGGGCATATGTTCTCTTACTTCAAAATTTGTGTTGTTTGGGTAAACCAGTTTTAGAAGATGTTAAGTATTTTTTTTACCGTATAAACACATTTTTTTGGGTTCAAACTCTCTAAGAGAGAGAGAGAGAGAGAGAGAGGGGTATAATAGGGACATGTGGAAAACCAGAATAAGAACTCTCGTCTCTCGCAAACGTTTCGCTCTCCATCTCTCGATCCCTCCTTTCACGTCGCTGATCTGTTGCTAGATTCGAGCTTCAAAGCCCTAATTCCTGTTGAACAATTACCATCGATTTCAGCTCAACTTCAGGTTTCTCTTCTTTTTTTCTCTCTCGATAACTTTCGCTTTTCCTTCCCTCGATTCACCTGATTTACTATGCATATGAAAGTTATGGAGTTCGATTCGCCATATGATCTGAGAATTTGATTCTGTTTATACTGACAGATGCTTAACTTTGTACAAAATCGGAATTAGAAGTCATGAATAGATGAGCATTCTTTTAATTTTCACCTACAAATCTCGATAGCGATGATGAATTGATAGGTTTTGATGATTGTGGCTACTCATTGTTGTGTGTGTAGTGACGATTCTTCTTCTTGAGTGTGTCTATCTTTCCAATTGATTCTCGTATGATCCCCAGCATTGTTTGTTTCGTTATTTCAGATTCAACGAGGCAATTAGCTTCTGGATTGCTTTAGTGACCAGATAATACAATGGTAATTCTTGCCTTCCCAGGTTCATTGTTGATTTTTTTTTCCCAGTGATTTGAGCTAAGAGTTTTTCATTTTTGATAATCACAGTCAGCTTTGTTCAATTTCCATTCATTTTTGACGGTGGTGCTGCTTGTGATATGCACTTGCACGTATCTGAAGATGCAGTTCCCTGCCATTTTGGAGCAGAAAACTGGGTTTGTGACCATTTTTATTCTCCTTTTTTCTTGAACTGGATTCACCTCATATCGGCACATTTGTTACTTTGTATTGCAAATGATTCATCATCCTACGCTTTCTATGTCTCTATTTCATGCCTCTTATGCCCCCATTCATCACTTTGTTCTGTACATTTTAATGATGAAAATTACTTAAACATATCTTTGCTTCGTTGTTTCAGGTTTCGAGGATTCTTTTGGAAGGCTGCGAGAATAGGTAAGACTTTGCACCCTTTGGAGCTCACTTATGTCTTGTGTTTCCAGTTCCTTTGTAGAAAATATTGTGTTGAACAATCTTCGTTGCATTTGTCCTTATAGAGGAGACTAGTGATTGGAATTGTAGGATCTAGAAGACGCTTGTTATAATCAATCAATGCAGCTACTAATAATTGAACTTTCTTTATAACCATTAATACCGTTCGAATCCTTAAAATCCTTGGTGATCCCTTATTTAAGCATATGCATGATGGCACATAGTAAAGTCATAAGTCTCAGATTATATATACTACAACTAGTTACTGTGATTCCTTTTCAATGACCGTAAAATTTTGTTGATTAAACTTTGCCTTTATCGTGGCTTGTAACAGGTGAGCGTTTGAGCCCTTGGGTCTCCGTGGGATGCTTCATGATGGGTGTGTCGATCATTTTCTTTTGATTGTCAACTTTACACAGAACCAATTCATGTAGATTTTACTTTCTTTGAGATGCTTAGTTTTCTGTATGCAACAAAATCCTATTTGGATTATGAAACTGAAACTGAAAGAGTAGAATATTCTATTTGGATTATATATGGGCTTGGTCTTGTGTTGTTGTGATGTGGAGACATTGAAGCCATCAAACCATACACACATCTTTGTTACAAAAGTAGAAAGAATGATTACATTGCTGCAAGTTTGTCAGTTTAATTAGCTACTTATTAGAGCAGCAATTAATAAATTAAGGCCCTATTGAAAGATTGCTGTGTTAATTATCAAATAATTTGGATAATCGATCAGCATAGAACACGGGGTGAAATAATATTTTGTTTTCACCATATTAAGTCGGTAAGTAAGGCTCTCAAAGGGTAAGTAACCCGTAATTGGATTGAAAATAAATGGGTCAAAATATAGTACCCAGGCCCAATATAAGAGACTATATATGAACACATATACATACAGCCATTTAGAATCTTCAAGCCGAGAAAGTCATCCCCTCTAAAACCCTAATCCTCTGTGAAACCTAGCTTCCCAGCTCAAATCAAGATGGTACTTGTTTCTCTCTCTTCTTTTCGAATCCATCTACCAGTGTTCTCGAACCAATCTTGCTCTTTGATTGTTTGAATTGGGTTTTTAAATTTCGTTTTTCATTTTTTTTTTGTTCTTGCAGACTGGAGAAGTTGTGAACCCGAAAGCTTATCCGCTAGCAGATTCTCAGCTGTCGATAACGATTCTCGATCTTATTCAACAAGCTGCTAACTACAAGCAGCTCAAGAAGGGTGCTAATGAAGGTACCTTAGCTCGTCTCTGTTATATATCGACTTTTGACATTTGTGAAGTTGTTATTCATTTTTTTTTCTAATTTTTTGTTCAGCTACTAAGACGCTTAATCGTGGTATCTCGGAGTTTGTGGTTATGGCCGCAGATGCAGAGCCCCTCGAGATTCTTCTTCATCTACCCTTGCTAGCTGAGGATAAGGTTTGATATCTTCTCTCTTTGTTTTAGCCATTTCCTTGTTCAAAAGAAATCTTTAGGTATTGGGAGAGTCATTTAGTTCTTCGTTTCCTGAATTTAAACATAGACCTGACTTTTATTGGTGCGATTAACTTGGTTTAACTTGTCCTGTTTTGTTATACATTTTTTTATTTTGTTCTTGAGATACTCATGAGTTCTATGTTTCCTGAAATTAATTATAATATTGATTGTTAGTTTGATTAGTTTGTGTCTTTCTTCTCCTTTGTTAATTGTTGGTTCAAGTTATGTGTATCATTTTGCTTTTATGCCATTCTTGGAAGTGTAAATGCTTTATGCTGCTTTTGCTGATTTCTGCAGATGCTACTTTGTATGCTCCGTTTACCATATTTGTTTAATTCGGAAATGCTTTGATGTTTTCTTGGGGACTGATCTTCCTTTTCTTCGTATGTGAATGATTTGCAGAACGTTCCGTATGTGTTTGTGCCTTCAAAGCAAGCCCTTGGAAGAGCATGTGGTGTAACGAGACCTGTTATCGCTTGTTCAGTCACATCAAACGAAGCTAGTCAATTGAAATCACAAATCCAGCAGCTCAAGGTATTTAGCCCTCTCCTTGTAAATCTGCAAGTATCAATGACTCTACCTCATATCATAATCATTTTTTTTTTTTTGTTCTATTCTTGCAGGATGCTATTGAGAAGCTACTGATCTAAGGCAATCTCAGATTGATTGCTCGGTATGATGGGTCTCCGCGTAATGGGAAGGCTTTGACTGAAGTTTTGTTTAGGCAACTACCAAATCAAAAACCGTCCATGATTTTAATGTATTTTTACTCCCAAGTTTGTTGTAACGTATGAACATCACATTGATACACCTATCTACGATTAAGTTTCTGGATTTTGTTTTGGTTTTGTGTCAATCATCGTAGCATCATTTATCAGATAATTGGCTTGGCATCACTATCTTCTGGTTAAAAGTTTTACGCCAACCAAACAGTTTTTTTTATCACATCTAAGTTGTGACATTGAGAATATGCATATGATCCATGTAAGGAGCCACATATCATATCAAACTTATGAAATTATAACTAATCCAAAAATTTAGTGTCATCCTCATCTATGCAGTCATTGTTTGTTGAGTTAACGGACAAATTATGATCTCGTGGTTGTCAAGAGGATCTTATGTCTAAAAACAAAAATTAGGAATCAAGCAAATTGGCTCTGGAAAGGAAGAGATCAAAAAAATAGGTAACAAATCTGAAGTGGTAAAATTAATATATATCAATGACTACACCCAACACAGAAACAAAGTTACAATGCACATGTTTTGTAACTCAAGGAGACTCAAGACCGACCAAAGATGTCAAGTACAGAGCCTCTCACGTTTCTTTTGCCATTTTGTGTATATATTGATTGATAATGTATGGTTTGCAATCTGTTAGCTTCTACTGTAAAAACAATAAGTGGAAAAGAGTGCCTTCCCTCTCTCTCTCTCTCTTACTCTCTCTCTATTTGGCTTCTTGCTCCAACAACGGAATATTCTTCCAAGTCTCGTCTAACCCGTTTAATTGGAGCGGCGGCAAAGAAAACACGCTTACGGTAGAGCTTCCGCTCCTGATTTCCTTCAAAACCCGAAGAGCAGCGATGGTGCTTTTCATGTGGAGGCTCTCCATGAACTTGTGCTCTGAAAGCTCTGCTTGTATGTTCGCAGACTCTGCTGCATCAGAATCCGTGGGGTTCTCGGACTCGTGTGGGGTTTCGTTAGCTGGAAAGAACCGATCAAGCATTGCCTCGGATTCCTTTATGAGCTTGTACAATAAGTCTGTAGTGTAAAAAGGTTGCTGAAGCACTTTCTGGATATAAGGTAAGCGCATGAGATCACCAGTTCGTTTGTCATACTTCTTCAGTATCTTAACCAATCCTGTAATAGTTCCAAACAAACAAAGCAAACCCATCTCAACATTTTTTCTACTAATTTTTTGGCACTAACAATTAACAAAATCTGCTACTGATTACGAATCTTGGACTAATATTCAAAGGTAACTTTTTTACCACACTAAGGTTGAGCTGACCAAATGATAAAATCTATTTCATTTTGAGGAAGAACAAGAAAATGCGTAAAGCCAAAAATTGTTCTCTCAAAGAGCTATTCATATATTTGCGGGAGATGATTTACCAGTGTAATTAAGAGCACTGTAATTCTCGAGAAGAACCATCTCTCCATGGAAATCAACAATCTCTCGCCTTATAGTCATCATCTTCTCCTTTGAATCTATGGCCTTTGCAATCCTATCTCGCAATTCCTGTTTTAACCACAAAAATCAGATCTTTGCGGGAGGAAATTAATAAGAAAATCAGCGAGATAAGAGATGAGATCGGATTTGGGAATGTTATTAATATGATTACCTTCAACCTGATGATATACTCTTCCTCCTTCTCAACGAAGAAATTGTTGAATTTCTCCAGCTCGTCCTCTAGCAATTGGACGAAATTGATCTCTTCTTTCGACATTCCGACGGAATAATCGTCACCGACGGCGAAGGAAGAGTCGAGTCGGAGGCGTTTGGCGGGACGGTCTCCGGTTTTGGAGTCGATGAGCTTGAGACGCTTCTTGAGGTCCTTGTAAGATAAGAACTTGTCACGCCATTCAGGCAGTGTCTGCTCGATCTGATTGCTGAGACTCTTACCAAACTTCATGCTTTTTTTCTTTCTTTTGTCTTCTGGAGAAAAATGAGGGAAATGGAGATGAAGAAGAAAGAAGGTTTGATGCAGTTAAGAGAGATATAAAGGTAGTTTGATAAAAAAAAAATTAAAGAATATTCTTAAGGTTTCTCTTTAGAATATCCTTTTCTCGTGTCTTCTTTTCGGGAGAATATCTCTTGGTTTTATTCCTTCCTTGTAATAATCTTATTTTTATTTTTTTGGCTATTTGTGGGTGAGATTATAACACATGGCAACTGTCGGTTAATAAATATATCAGTCACATTTAACATTTACATATCCAATAGGCAATTATTATGGCAGATTGTATATAGGGACCCAGAGTTCAAATTTTTGTGATATCTCTGATCCAATCCAATTTTTTTGGATATAAAATTTGGTATTTTTATCCAGACGTATTATAAGAAAAAGAAGAAGAAAAAATAGATGTCTTTGTCTTTAACTTTAATTATTACAATTTTTAAAAATCCTCATCTTTCTATTTAAAAAAGAAACAATCCAATTACAAAATAAAAGGAAAATTGGTATAAAAAAAAATTTCCAATCCTAACGCGTTACTCATAAGTGATAACAATCCAGCTCAGATTGTCATGACGAAAAACACATGGGACATTTGGTCTTCATGATCTCTATATATGTATATATTTTTCCATGATCTTACAAGTTACAAGTAATAGTTTGACAACTACCACTTTTTGATGTTATTTTTAATAAAAGAAGGCACGCAAATGGTCATAAGGTTTTGAGGTCCATAGGGGAATATTCTTCAAAATAAAAAGGGTATAAACCTCGGCATCTTTCAACTTTGATTAAAGCATCCAAACTTCAAAGGACAAACAAGTCGCTGAATTCGCGTCTCCATTCATACCTTTTTTCTCTCCCTCCATTGACATTGTCTATATGCAATTCCGCAAGATGAAACTTTTCAACTTATCAATTTATTTTTGTTAAAACGATTAGTCAAGAAAATATATAATAACATACATACATTTGTTAAAACTATTAGTCAAAAAAATATATAATAACATACATAAGAGGATGTCCATTAGACAATTCGTCTTTAGAGTTTTTAAGAATATTAAATTAATTAATGAACAGTGGTCGACAATTTATTAAATCGATGGCGAGAAAATGAGTTTCATTTTTTTATGTATTATATTGATGGAGAGAAAAAATAGTGGACAATTTATAGTCCATATTTGGAGAAAGAACCAATCTCAATTGTTTTTTAATCGAATACCAATGAGCACTTTACACTTGTTTGAACAAACTTTGTATGGATTGCTCCTTAAAATCCTTCTCCAAGGATCGTTTGTTATGTATTTGGCATTTTTTATTTATTTTTTATCCAATAATTGTTAACAAACCCAATACTAAACCTCTTAAAAAACTCTAATGGACCTGGTCTAAGTTAGTGGGTTTGCTGACGCCCAACATATACTACGATGTGGGATGGCTAGTTACAATATTGAAGAATTTTATATTGAAAGAGATATACAAGTTTCTTATACTCTAAGTAAAATTCCAAGTCAAATTTGAAATTCTTATGAAATGGTCATGATTCAAATGACAAATGACTATTGTTTTCCGTTTTGTTTTGTTGATAAGAATAGATAATAAATATTTTGTTATAGTTGTTCATGTGAAAGAATTTTTTTTTTTCTTTCTTCCAAGTGTGCTCTTGATTAATTGTTTGCAAAATACAAGTTGAAAATTAGTAATATGAAAGATGGGAAAACAATTTGATATTAGTGATTTAGTCGATATGATTTCTGTCCGAGTTCCTCATGTGTTGGAGACCAATGAATCGAGCATTTCATTTGTTTTTATTTTTGATTATCTAATATAATACATTCCCGTATATAGCACGTGGTAATCGAAAAAATATAAGTTACTGCTCTTGTTGTCTACAAAGGCTTAATCAAAGATGATAAAGTTACTCTTTTTGTTTCACAAAAGAATACACATCCTATCCTTCATTACAAAACTGAAAAGGTCGATTGCATTTGATCTTATCCTGATTACTGATGTTTTTTAGAAAGGGAAAAAAAACTAATAAGAATATTGTTTCAGTCACTTCCCCATTTCCGGACAACGCTCTCTTTAGCAGAGACATTACTGAAACCTTCCTTCTTCCACATCTCCTCTAAGTTATCACCATTCACTTTCGAAGCTTTTCTTCCCATGAGTGTAGAGCTTAGTGATGTCAAACCTTCTCGTGTTCCTCGCAGAGCATACAACAACGGGTTTAACACAAATGCAGCCATTACTTCACCTTTCGCAACCAACATATACTGCAACCATTTAACAACACCAAAACCATCAACAAACTAAAACTCTTTCTCTTTCTGATTTTCCATTCCTCAATTCATAATAAGAATGATTACTTGGTAAGCAAAGGCATACCACGAGAAGTATAGCTAAGAGGGTGATTGTAATCTGTTGTGCTTCTTTCCAGAAATGATCGCCACTGAACCAACCGCCACCTCCGAACCAGCCTCCTCCTCCTCCTCCTCCTCCATTCCCACCATTTCCGCCACCGGATTCTTCCCTTTTCTTGATCTCTTTGTCCCACTTCTCGAACTCATTTTTCTTCCCACCAAGAGCGCTCTCCAATGCTTTACGAGCTTGCTCCTGCACAATCAACGAAATTGAACAACACAGTCAGCCACCAATATCAATCATATGATGCTACTCTTTTCCATCTTTAGAGCATATCAGTTCTCTTTTCTTTCCCCAGAGAGAGAGCGAGAGAGAGAGAGAGAGAGAGATAATTTGGAGAGCTGAAACGAGGAGGCTCCAGTTTTCAAATTTTCTCTTATCAGGCAACTATAAAATGCAATCACGTTTGCCGAAGGAAACGCTTGGAAAGAGATGAGCTCTTAAATAAATAAGAAGAAAAAGAGTGGATTTTTCAGTTCCTAAATGAAGTTATTGCTAAACAAAATGTTTCCTCTAGATATCCAGAGAAGTAGAAAAGCTAAGAAACTGATAGTCTCAATACCAATTCACCAAATCAGAGGGATTTGATCAATGCAAAGACTCTAAACTCTCAGCTAAACGGCCAACCAACAGCTAGAAACACAATCTGTCGAAACATCCGTATAAACGTAGCCCTCACTAACCAGCTCACTTTTGGGTCTCCACAAAGAACTCTACTCCACTCGGATCCAATAAACAACAATTTTATCCTAAAGAATTAATTGTCTCTAGCTCAGAGTCACAAGCGGAATCAATTTCGTTCGCAGGCGATACTACAAAGCAAAATAAAAAAAATAAAAAAAAAACCCAGTTTAATCGATTGCTCTGAGTCGTAATCCCAGCAGCTATTTCAGCAGATTTCCTATGAATGTTGTAAAACCATTATTTGCTTGAAAAAACAATAAAAAGGGAAGTAAAGTAAGAAACTAACCTCCCTCTGGTTGCCGGAGAAGAGACAAGAGACTCTTCCCTTGCTTTTGGTAATTGAGGTTCGCAGAGAGAAGACATAGTTAGGGTCGAGACTCCGGCGTCGGAGGTGGAGAAGCGGCGAGGAAGAGGGAGGGTTTATCAGCAGCCTCACTACGTGTCCCATCTCTCTCCCTTATCCAACCTCCCACAATGGATCTGTTCTCAAACATTTACTTACCAGTTTTCGCTTACATTTTGATAGGATTAATATATCAATTATTTCTTAACCTTTTCTCTTAATTGTCTCTTTATCTCTTAATGAAGCTATAAACATCGATTGGTCTGCATGATTAGTTTGGCTATTTGCGGGATACGTTTCAGATTTATCCCCAAACAAGAAATAAATTCTGTAGATTTACCTGTTGTAATCTGTATGATTTAAATTCGGTCTTCTCTTTTTCTTTTTTTCTTTTTTTTCCGCTTAGACCATAGATGGTAAATTCCGTTGAAACCAAGAAGTTGAAAGAGACGAATGAGAATATTTTTTTTTCACTTCAATGCACTCGGGAAGAAAACAAGACATGAACTGACTATTCTCAAGAGACCAAAAACAAAAACATTAAAAGAAAAAGATCCCTATAGATCAATGAGTTCATCTATATCTATATATACCTCAAACCAAACCGCACCCTTTTTCAGTTCTCAGACTTATTGACTTCTGAAGAAAAAGAAAAAAAATGGGTATCAATCACTTTCCCAATAACTACCTTCTTCATTCTCTACAGATCAATCAATCTATCCGAAGTTCGTCGTTTTGAGGCCTGAATTTGATGATCATGAGATGTGGGAACACAACAAGGCAAGCCATGAACAATGTGAACTGCAAAATCATCATAACAAAAACCATATAATTTCCATAAGCCGGATAAGATTTCTCTACAAGAGTGATGATGGACTGAGAGTTCATACCAAAAGAGGGAGAGTCAAGAAGCTCCATATTGGCCACAGAGCAAAGGAGAGCCTGCATTTGCGAATTTTATCACACATAAACGGATATGATACTCACGGTAGTAGTTCCTCATGACTAAAGCATGTGATTTATTTTGACTTACAGGCCAAATGAAATGAGGCCGAGTAGGGTGATGAAAGGCAGAGCAGAGATACTCCACAGTTCCAATTTCTCATCAAACCGTCTCAAGCTCCACGATAACATACTTTCGTAGATTATGATTACAATGTTCACACCTATTCCCAACATCCCGATATACAAAGGCATCCTGGAAAGAAGGCAAAGACCGCATTATGTTTAGATAGGTTTTTCAACAAGACCCTCCTTCATCACAAACAAATTGCAGAAAATATACACCAGATCATGACACAAATATCTGGATTATCCAAACCACTTAAAATGAAAGGCCTTTAAATAGTAGCCACCTTTGCCTATGCACAAGTCCATGTTAATCCTCAAGACTCAAAAAAGGTTTTGGGGAAAGAACAATGGACCTTAAAAGAGCTTCCTCAACAGATACAAGGATATTCAGAAGACGATTCTCCTAACACTTAATATATGACAAGTTTCTGGTATTCCTGCTCCCCTAAATTAATTATTCAAGGTTCTCTTTATCAAAACATTTGAATTCAAACTTCTATGGCAATTACGGATTTAAAATGAGACACAAAAAAGTTTATTTTCACCCGAACATCTTAACACAAGCAATAAGCCAAAAAGAAAAGTAAAACGAAAGAGCCGATCAAGAAATCTGTGACCTTTTGATCCGAGCATCGTGTAGGAGGATGTATATCATATTGGAGTGCCTGTCTCCAAAATAGATGATGAATACTGCAGACGCAATCCAAAGAGCATTCTCCAAAATCTCGACCCAAGTTTTACATCTAGGGCTGTCTAGGGAGAAAGGTTGTTGCCTAGAGCAAGCATCGTCCTCAAGATCATCACCACCAGATGCATATCCTTGGCTATGTCTTTGCCTAATGTACCCACCACCACCAACCGGAGTTCCACCAGACATATTTCCTAGAAGCTAAACTAAACCAACACTCCTTGTATACAACAATACCACCTCCTTGGAAACTAAACAACCCTAGAAGCCCTCTGTATAAAAGTCGATCGATTGAGGCAAGTAAAAGATACCAAACTTCGAAATTCGTCTCATTACAAGCGATCCCCACAAAAGTCTATATGCTTTGCGTCACCAACGAGACTGCAACGAAATTCATAAAGGAGAAATAATTCAATTCCACAGAATCATAACACCAGAATATGCGAAAACAAAAACACAAATTCTCGTCGAATCCAGATTTCGAGAGATCGGAAAACGGAAATTCTTAGGATCCCGAGCTGAGGAACAAGTACATACGAGAAATTCGATGATAACAAAGAATCAATAACCTCGGTTGAGAGCTCGTCGCGGACGATTGGTGAAAACCCTAAGAATCGATCCCAAATACTCTTGGAAATTTTGAGAAGAGAAAAGCTTTGAAAAGGGGGAGAGTGAAGCGTTAGGCAGACTGGTGTAACTGAATTGTTTCGAGAGCGTTGAAAACAGATTTTACCACACGACGTCGTTTCGCTCCCTTTTTTGCTTTTATAAACCCACATTTCAGTTAAACATCACTTGTCACTTTCTTTATGTTTGTGAACTTTGAGTTTTTTCTTTTCTCTAAGCCTAATTTTATTTAGAGTATACGACAGTAACTCAAGTCATCTACTCGCATAAGCTTGAAAGATGACTTGAGTTAGATTCTTAACACACCAAAATCTCCATGATTGGATTACATGCTAAAAGTTGTAACATTTGAAACAACGCATATGTAAGTCTGCACAGAAAACGAAAACCCGTATAATCAGTAATAACAATTAGCTGTAGATTATATATTTGGCCATAGATTAGTCCCCTTAACCACAAAAAATTGTGGCTAAACACGCATATCTCTTATAGTAGAAATCATTATTTTGTTGTATTATCATAAATATTATAAAGATTGGTATCGACCTAAACTATAAGCCAAATGCCAATAAATTCTTAATTAATAACAAATGATGTAATACCTCTATAGCTAACAAAATTGGTTGGAAGAACAAGGGCCAAGAGGGTCCATGACCGGGTCCTAATTTGCTGAGCATAAATCGATAAGGTTAACGAGTATAAAATATCAGATTTTGGGGGCCCGGTAAACACTGTTCTTGAGAACAATTAGTGCTTTTTGTCAAGAGAACAAGAAGTTTATAACATAAAAACAGACATCTCCACCTATCTATATATGTATTCCAACAACCAATATTTATATGTTGATTACACTTGTTGACAAGAAATTAGAGGTTAATTTCACTTGACTTAAAACAACCCACATGGTTAGATTCTATCAATCACCCTATTCCCTTTCTAGTCCACATTATTTAATTCGTCTTCGTGTTTGCACAGCTGAGTTAATTTATTTGGGGTTTATTAAAGAGTTATCATTATTAATTGATTAATGCAACATAATTGCTTGTTACCAGTATCGTAGTTTTGTTTGTTAACGAAAATCATGATATCAGTATCATGATTTTAGAAGCAACAACAAAAGGGGACAATACCATGGTGCAAGTCTAACAAGATTAATGTGTACGTAATGCGTATATGGATTCTAAAGAACAACAAAAAGAACAATACTATACAATGAAATAGAAATGCATATATATGAACGACCATAACCAAATTTTTGTGAGGAAAAAGATCCTCCCTCATGTAACATATTCATCATCCAATGCCTAGATCTCTATATATATTACTGATGATTGTTAATTACTCGGTTAATAATTTAGTTTTTTTTTATCTTGTCAATATCGTAATCCCTTATATAATAATCCCAAAATTCATAATAAGTATGTTGAACCTTATTTAGATGCAGCTAGGCAAATTATGCACATCATGTGAAGTTAGATTGGTAAAGATTTTATTCACTCCTAGACCTAGTTCCGGCCGCTCAGAAATTATTATCTTTCTCCATACCATATAAAATAAAAAAATGTAGAATATGGTACGCATAGGATGCAGTCCATTTTATTATAAAATAATATCTTGTATAGTGTATTGATGTATAAAATTATACTATTCAATTGCCAAAATTTAAGAGAGAATAATAATAGAGAGGACTCATTTCTCTCCTCTGACTCTTCCTTATAAATAACGCATATGAGCCATTAAAGAGTTTCACATCTATTTTTACGCAAAAAAGACTAAAAAGAAGAAAAAAAATGAATATGGCAAAGGCAAAAGAAGAGATCAAACCCAAAAGGAAGAAAAGTCTCATGAGCTTCTACAAATTCTCAACCACCATTTCGAAGCATTCACTCATAAACCCTAAATCCAAACACAACAAAATCCCGATTCCAACAACATCAGTATCCCAACAAGAAGAGGTATCAAAACCAACCATCGTCCTATCTAACAAAACGCAAAACCATCTGATGATGAGAGACATCTTCGAGTTAGAGACTAGTGGTGGTAATGAAAGAAAGAAAGGCGGTGGTGCGGCGGAGGAAGGGAGGAAATCGGTGTCGCACGTGGAGAGGGATACGGCAGCGAGGATAGCAGCAGCGGCGGAGATGTTAACGGTGAGGATATTAGCGGCGGACATGCCGGGGTTTATGCAGGCACATGCGTTTAGGTGTGCGAGAACGACTTTAGATAGTTTGGAGAAGTTTAGTTCGAAGCACATGGCTTTCAATCTCAAGAAGGTAAACAACAACACTCTCTTCACGCATTTCTTTTTTGTCACTTTCTCTGATTTTATCATTTATTTATATGCAAAGTATATCACTAAGAGGCGGGTTTTCATGAAGAAAGAGACAAAACAAAACAAAGCAAAAATGATAAAGAAAAAAAAAAAAAGGGACAATTGTGTGTTTCTGTTCAGCATTCTACAGTTTTGAGAACGTCTCTAGAGTTAGAGTATCTCTGAAGTTTGTTTGTCCTTTGAATTTGTGGGGATATAGACTTGAGGTTATTTAGACGAATAAATAGTTGGAATGGGCATACAGATTAATGAGATTAAGATAGCTTCTATTGTGTTTTTTCGTTCAAGCCACACATATACCAACAACTAAACAGAAACTCATATTTAATATCAAAACATCAAAATGAATACAAAGTATAAGGGGGAAAATGACGCATCATCCCTCTTAGCCAATTGCTTTTTCATGATATTAGATGTCAATATCAAACAATGACCGGTGTTTCTATGGGCTGATTTTTGCCTTAGAAAATAAATAATCAGTGTGGGTTTTGTGAATAAACAAAATTTGGATCTCAAAATGGATGGGAGAGTAAATAAGATGAGAAGAAATTTTAAATAATATTAACAGAGTGATGGGAAATGGTCCAGCTAATGTTGAAAAGGGCATCAAGGGGAATGACCCAACATAGCCATGTGGTCCTCTTCCACTCTTATCCCCCTTTTGTTTTTCAACTTAATTTTTTGGATCCCTCTTTTGTCTCTCTCGCAATCTCCACACTAAGGATCGATGTGGCTTTGACCATAAGTTCTCTCAGCAATTATTTTTGTAGACAACTTAGTAAAAGATGTCAGATTTTTAAATCTTTTTGTTCAAATTTAACCATATCCATTTTCTTGTGAACATGATCAAAAATCCACATTATACTTGTTTTTCTACTCTTAAATTATCAGGGCTGTGCTGAACATAGTATAAGAAATATTACATGCTTTGCTTCAGGATCTAAAAAATGCACATATTTCGGTCTAAGTATTAAAACCTTCTTATCAACAAAAAAATTGGTTATATTCAGTTAACATATTTTCTAAAAATAGTCAAATCACGCGAATGATGAGGATCAAAGTTTACATAAGATGACGCGAAGGATTAAAATTTTCATTGCCATAAACAAGTTATTATGTAAATGAGATATGAAAAATATGCAGGAATTTGACAAAGGGTATGGACCAGCATGGCATTGCATAGTGGGGTCAAGTTTCGGGTCATTCGTGACACATTCCACAGGTTGTTTTCTTTATTTCTCAATGGACAAACTCTACATTCTCCTCTTCAGAACCAAAGTTCGTTCTGCTTCTCCCCATTGATCATCTCGTCGATCTCTTTAGGCCGTAACTTATACCAATCGTAATCAAAAAGGCTTACTGTAAATTCACTATTCCATGTTTTTTATATAATAAGATGTTATTATATAAGGATGGAACAACGATTCCTAGTTTTATATGTTGTCCACTTTTTTTGGATTATATGTTAATTTATGAGCGTGTGGCCAACAAAAACTCCATCTCGGAAGAATTATTCCCTCAAAGATTAAAGTAGGGTTAAAAAAAAATAAAAAAATAAAAAAGATTAAAGTAGGGTTAAAAAAACTAAGTATCTATTGTGATTAGTATTTTGGAAAATATGAAATGCTAATTGACCAATATTGTGCTCGAAAAAACGATCCAAGGACACTACTAGTGAGTGGGAGACAAGGGATGCTTGATGTAGCATAGTTAGCCTTTGTAATTGATTTCGGTTTCTACTCATTGTATAAGAGGTTCTATTAGTAACGAGATCGACTTTGGTGTTATAGAGACGCAAAAGGTTTGTTTGATTACAATTTTATTTTATCAAGTACAAAGATAATTTTTTTCCTTCTAGATTTAGCTTTCGATATTTAGATGTGCACGAAGCACCCGGTTAATCATGGGGCTAAGAAAATCTTTTGGTTACTATATTTCTGCAAGCCCACCACAAATAAAGCTCTCGAACCGAAATCTATATGACCCGGTTTTAGCCAAAGTTGTATCGAGTTTACGCCATTGGCTTCAAAGCCAATAGTCCAATACCACACGTAGGTCTACAAAGATATGTTCTTCTCAAGTTTTCTCTTCCTGGATTTTTTTTTTTTTTTTTTTTTTTAGTTTTTCATGAATTCAACGAAACAACAAGGCTAGAAATCCATTAGACATTAGTAGTAGTTTTGAGTTTTCTTTACATTACCGGATATTTTCCTCCGTGCTCATTAGAAATACCATTCAAACTATTCTGCCTTTGACTTTAGCACAATGACTAATTCTAAAAGAAACTTGCACCCTTATGGCAACATGAAAACCTGGTAAAATGTTATATGATCATCAATACATTCATCAATCAGATTTCTTTTGACGAATATTAACATTGATGAAACTTTTGGCTGTCGAAATTACTGCAAACTTGGTGGTATTGACGGTTTCTTTTTGTTTTGTTCTGAATGTTTTACAAACAAACAAACAAACAGACACACACACACACACATTTCATATGAATAGAAGATCAATCTAAAAAGGCTTCTCTTCAAAACGTCACATCATAAATCAAAAGCAATCCTTGGCTTTGTCCATCATGATTTTTCGAATTTTTTTCACATAAGAGAATTGCACACACAATGAATCCTAATATGATATATGCATCCATTGTCGTAATTTTGTTAAATAATTACCCCTTATGAGATATGCATTATGTACTTCCACAGCTTGATCTTCTCCTTCCTCTGCTTCTCCTTCTCCGATTAGACGAAAACAGAGAACAGAAGCCACAACCAACAGAGATTTTAGGGGAAGGTGGATCCAACGTTGGAGACATGTCGACCAATCTTCCACCAACGTGGCCACGTCCTCCGTCCGATGCGCTCCGTTGTACGGTTGCCGCCGCAGCCGCCATTGGTCCGTCGCGATGATCGTTACACCGATCTTCTTGTCTTTCGTCGTTGCGAATCTCCCCGCTCAAGAATCTGTCGTTCCAGATGAGTCCCGACGATCCTTGTCTCCTAAACGACGCCGTTGATCTCTGCAACGCCATTCTTCTCTTCTCTCTTTCAATATGATGCAATGTGAAGAAAACCAATATTTGAAATAAATTCTCAAACAAACAAAGCAAAAAGAAAAGAAAATATATTTGGAAGGAAGAAAGGAAAAAAAAAAACAAGAATAATTATGGGAAACGTTTTTTTCTTTTCTTTATTACGCTATTCATTTTTCGAAGACCTTTTCTACTTTTTTATTTTTTTTTTTCCAAAATTATTTTCTTATTATGGTTTCACATTTGTAGTTTAAACTGAAATTTTTTTTTAATATTATTTTGAGATAGTAAAATGAGTTTCTTTACCAAAAATAGGAAAACCAAAGAGGGTAACTTACTGTCTGTTTCTTTTTTGTATGTCCTAATCGCTGAAGGAAATAAAACTGTCGGAGTGGATCATATTTGTTCAGAAAGTGTCCGTGTCGAAAGATGACGTAACCTGCCTCTAGATTGGCTAACGTTTTCCACATCATTTTTTTTTTTAAATTTCTAGAATTGAATGTTTTGTAAATTTCTTGCTCCGGTTTAGCTAACCGAAATCGAGAGGTTCGGTTTACAGGAAACCCACTTTTGGCTTTTGACTTTGTTATTCTCTCTCTTCCTCACCAACCATCTCGTTTTATTTGGGAGCAAGCTTCGTCGACTATCCTCTTATAGATCAATCGCATCACTCAGGTTTGTCTCGATTTCGAAGTAGATCGTCGTATGAATCCAATAAAAGAAGATTGATAAACCCTAATTGTTCGCTCTCTGTTGTTGATACTTTTTACCTTCGGAATATACTCATACAATTGGGAATCGAAATGTATTGTGATGTTTGGGTTATTTTTTATGGAGTGGGTTTTTGTCGAATTGGACTTAGAAACTTTAATCTTGAGGACTCTGTGCAATCACTTCAGAACCGTCCCTGGGATTCTTAAACTGCTCGTGATATAAGCTTGTATGATAGATTGGCTTTTTGTTGAGTAATAATATTTTGACTATGAGCTGAGTTTTGAAGAGGGAAACAGGTCTTAAGGATAAAGAGAATCTGATTGAGCTATTTTTTTTACTGCTTACACTTAGTTGACATTCACAAAAAAATAATCTAATGAAATCATGAGTCTTGTTTAGCTTTCACATTTCCTGAATCTAGAGGGTGGATTCAATATATATGTTGGATAAAGCGGATTAGCTTTCACATTAGTTGATTTTCTGAAAGTGATATATATATAATCCTTTTACCGTCTTGAGTTTATTGTAGGCGGGTTTCAGTAGATATGGCGGCTACATCAAGGTTCCAGGCATTCTTGAACAGTCCTGTTGGCCCTAAGACAACCCATTTCTGGGGGCCTATCGCTAATTGGGGTTTTGTTGCTGCTGTATGTTTTTCTTTCCTTGTCTTTTTTTATTCAATCCATCTGTTTGGGTGGTTCATGAAATCATTATATTTTTGAATTTGACTTCACATATAGGGTTTGGTGGATATGCAAAAGCCCCCTGAAATGATTTCTGGAAACATGTCTTCAGGTAAGAAAAGAGAGACCGTGTTATAAAAATCTTATTATAAAGCCATATATGCAACAACATTATTAGCTAAGCCTCTCATTGCATCTTTTGTTGTTGTTGTTGTTGTAAAGCGATGTGCATTTACTCTGCATTGTTCATGAGATTTGCTTGGATGGTGCAACCTCGCAACTATTTACTACTTGCGTGCCATGCATCAAACGAGACTGTACAGCTCTATCAGCTCTCGCGTTGGGCTAGAGCCCAGGGGTAAGTTCTACTTCTATCTCAAATAACCATTGACATGAACAAACGCACTCAAATGAAACAAGTTTGCTTTTGAGACAACTGCTTTATATTATAAGCTTACTATACTTTACCATGTTTTTTTAGCTTACTCGTAAATTTCCTAAATGACAGGTATTTATCCTCCACGAAAGAAGAGGATAAACCGTCTCAGTAAAACCAAAATGAGGAAAGGTGTCTTTAACGCTGCTTCTGATGAACAACGGATCATCATTTGTTCTTGAAAATTAATGAATCCATCCATTTGATTTTCCTTTGAAACGTGTTTGTGTTGTCCCCCAAGCCATGGTTGCTTTACTTGTTGGATCGCTCATTAACATTATCTTTTTGTTTTGTTTTTTAAAGTAACCGGTTGTGATAAAATTTGGGACCAGAGTCATCAGTTCATACTTCGTGTTACTGTTCACACAACTTAGCAGTACTCTAACCAAAAACTGATATATAAGTCCCAACACCTGTAGTCCCAAATCATATTGCAATAATCGTCCATGGTTTAACAAGTCAGGCTTTCAGTTAGAGGAATTCCCATTGACAAGCTTTTATATTCTGTCACAAATCCAAAAATAAGCAAACTTGAGAAATTCTTGCTGTTTGCGATCGGATCTTTCTCCACGTACATCACATGAATGCAAATGCACAAATTCATCTCTCCTCATTCTGCGTCAATTAATGTTCGCTTGAGGCCACTTTTATTACATGAAATAAAACCTTTGTCGAGTGCCGAAACTATGGGGTTCTGATTCTCAACTTCTCTCAGAATTTGAATACCATCTGCTCTGTGTATCCGAGTTCCTTGAGTATCCCCTTGACCTGCAGTGAAACAAACCAACGAGACATTAGGCATGAACTGCTCTGCATCGGGCTGATTGGTTTTCTCCAACTAATTACAGCAACTCGAATCCTACAGATTTCATAATCTGATTCGATTTTGGTATGCCACCAAGACTATGCTATTAAGGGCCCTTTCCTTGAACACATACTTTTAAGATTTCACATTATTAGATTGCTAAGATAAGATGTTGACGAATTGGTACAAACCTCTCCTTGAGACCAGTCTGGAGCTTTGCCTCCGGATATATGCTCCATCATCCCAGAAGGACCACATACCTGAATTAACAATAAAGCATACCACATATTATTTAATAGTGAATGCTTTGATTCCAAGTTTCTAACCTTACTTCGTCAGTAAATCAAATCCATATCACTAAACTGTTTGACATCCTGATTCTCAACCTCTTAGGAAACATTGACCATTATGATGGAAACTGATATAAAACATCCGCATACTCCAAAAACAGAAGAATTAACTAAATCAATAAAATGTTATAGATTTTTTTTCATGCGTCATTAAGAAGAAGAATATTACATAGCACACAATGAAAGCAGCGATGGAAAGAGATTGTAGAAACACTTTCTTTTCAAAAAACAAGCTATGGTTCTGGAGATTGTAAGGTAACTTACAAGGATAAGTGTGTCGTCTGCAGGAAGAGGTAAGCCTTTCAGAGCCATATCTTTTGAAATGTAACCTACTCCTCCTTTCCAGTTTTTAGTAGGATTGTCAACAGTATAGAATACCTGACGATTTTTAACATTAAAATTTTTTGACGGAAAAGTGTATACTATTGGTAACCAGCTAGTAAAATAAGCAACTGAAGAATTCAAGAGGATTCTACCTTCAAATTTGGGTGGTTAGCCTGAAGTACATCGAGCTTTTGCTTGAGAAGTATATCATCCGGCGAAACATTGGCATAAAGCAATGTTATCTGCAAAGAAAGAAAATGTAAATCTCCATGTTAGGATATAATATTTTCTGGAAAAATCTCTATTTTGAAATGAGTTGTAAAGTATGATTAAAAAAATTAAGATCTTATTAAAGAAACCAGCAGCTAGAATACGTAGCAGTTCAGCATTTGTATGCATAGATTACATACTTCAATATGGAATCCAAATGATCATTTTTGAGAAAAAATAAGATAACGATAAAGTAGTCACCTGCGTGTTGTCCTCGGGATTCTTCATAACAGCATCGATCACCTGAAGCATTGGAGTTATCCCACTTCCACCAGCAATCTTCAAGTTAAAAGGAGAAAATGGATAGCAAACACAAAATTACCAGTCAGAATTTATCTGTCATTACATTGACTTGTAACCATACTACACAAAATAACTACAAGTCAGTAAATCATGCTACTAAACGGGAAAGTAGAAATGCAACCTCATGCAAACACTGACTTTCTAAGGACTTGCATATCAACAAACGAGAGTAGGTAACAGACTGAGATAAGGAAAAAACTACTAGTGCAGTCCATATCTTCAAAGTTCAACTTCCATAAAGGTATAACAGATTGTATGTAAGAAACCTCCAGTAAACTTGGTTGTAACAAGGGAACAAGGGTATATACCATGCCAATATGTTTCTTCATATTAGGCGAATATTTGAACTTTTCAATGGGTCTACAAGAAACAAAAGGTAGAAAAGGTTAAAAAGCATATACAATAAAGAACTATCACCAACCGTAGTTAAAAAAACGCTAACAGTCAAGAATACATACCCTTTCACTTCCAACACATCCCCCGGTTTTAAGCTGGCAAAATGCTGACTCATTTTTCCGTCTGGATATACCTGCAAAAAGCAGTGAACTACATCATAACAAGTTCAAAACATATTGACGAAATCAGATAAATCATAACACGTCTAGTTCTTTGCTAGAAAATAGTAGCAAAAGCGGAG